GCTCGCCATTCCTCTTCTGGGCCGCCTCTAACTGAGCCCGAACAGCGGCGGTAGCCTGCGCCTGATAATAAAGAATATCAATGGTCAGAACTTCATTTTGGGCAATTTGAAACATTGCCTTATCACAGTCAGAGGCGGCCATAGCTTTTGCAGCCTTTACCTCTTTGTTCTTCCGATCAAGCGGCTTGCGAAGGCCGTTCACTCGGAGCAGGGCCTAAGTACAAAGAAACAAGCGTCATTTTCCAAACAAAAAAGAAAACAAGCGTCCAGAAATTCGAATAGTAAAAAATATGCTAAGTATACCTCAGCAAGGACCCCTGCAATCCCGTCTAGGTCAAGGGTGCTGACACCCCTGACCGCCTCCCTTTCAGCTGGAGGAACTGCCCTGATCATAGACTTGGCCATCTCTACCAAGTCAGGCTCCTGAGGGCCGGCTGCATCAAGCATAAACAAACGGATTAGACCTAGTAAAAAAGGGAGCGAGTCTAAAATTTACAAGGACAACTTCTTACTTCTAGGCGGCCCAGTTGGAGTTTTAGAAGAAGTGGCCGGCTGTTTCTCAGCCGCCACATGTTTCCTGGCAGAACCAGGAGAGCTCCCAACAGTCGTCCTCCGGGCCTTGGGGTCCGGCTGTTGGGAAGATGAAGCTCTTGGAGCACCCGTCTAAAAAAGAAGAAAAAAAAAGTCAGTAAATGCATAAACACAACTCCAAAAAGAGGGTGAAAGGTTCGGAGCTCACCAAGGGTGCCCCCTTCTTGGGGGAGTCGGTTGAAGCTTGTTGCATGATGGAGGCCCGCAACATGGCCGCCGCAGTCTTGGAGGCGGTGATTTTGCTCATGGCGTCAGCTGCAAAAACAAACAACAAAGTTAATAAAAGTCATAACAAGAAATGTATGGAACAACAGAGTATTCGACAGGCCGACTACCTCTTGAGCACCGACTGCTGAGGCCACAGGCGGCCAAAAAGTACTCGTCGTAGAGCCATTTGAAGCTCGGGACGCAGTGCAGGGGTACTTGCTCTCATACCCCTGAAGTAGAGTCGACCCTCGACTCTACTTTAAAGAGTCCTTTATCAAGGATCTCTTTCCTAGCCTTGGGGGGAACAGGCGGCATGCTACGGCCGCCTGCAAGAAGGGGCGGATTCCTGTCCTTCCACTTGTTTGCTTTACCACTCGTCATGAGGAAGGTGGAACAGGAATCCGCCCCTTCTTGCAGGCGGCCGTAGCATGCCGCCTGTTCCCCCCAAGGCTAGGAAAGGTGCTCCGCCAGTCCTTCCACTTGTTTGCTTTACCACTCGTCATGAGGTAGCCCCTGTGGCTTGTTAATTGATACCAGCCGGCACCGCCTGTCTTAGGGGTCCGGCTGAGATAGTTCATATGGGCGAAAGCCTCGAAGCTCGGCTCCACCCCGTGCAGTTCGCACCCGGCCACATAGCCGAGTACGTTGACCCAGGAGTTTGGGGCTAACTGCCATAACCCCAACTCATACCCATCCAAAATCCGCTGAACAGCCGGATGTAATGGGAAGCGCAGCCCTGCCTTGATGGCCGCCTCGTAGCAGCCAAAGCAGGCGCTATCATAACTGGAACCAGCCGGCCAGACGACTGTGTCTTCTGAATCCGGCACAAACACTAGAAAGTCGGGGCCCATGGTGTGGTTTGAAATAAAGCTCTCCACTTTCTCTTGCATGGCTGTGATCCGGCCCCGAGGTACCGTGCAGTAATAGGGGGTGTTTAGCTCTCGGTGAGAGGCGGATGGCTCCGCCCAATTGTCCCCCTTCTCAACTGCGTGAGAAAGTCTCGCCTCTTGCAGGCGGCTGTTTTTCTCTTCTGTGTCCAAAGAAGCATGGCCAGAAGAGCTTGACTCGGAATCGTCCTCTGACGAGTCCGAAGAGGACGACTCCTCTTCTCTCCCGGAGGGGCCCGCCTCCTCTCTTTGAAAAGGAGCAGAATTGTTAACTGTTAAATGGGAAGGGGTCACTATGACTCCTCCCTCAGAATTGCCGGCTTTCAGGCCGCCTTGTTTCACTTCCACATCTGGCGCCTGGTCAGATGTTTCACTAAGCGGCACCCTGTGGGAGGAGCCGTCTGAATTTGAGATCCTAGCAGTCTTTTTCGTTCTGGCCATCCTGCTCTACATAGACACAGATACAGTCGGACTTTGTATAAAGGGCAAAGATGGGTCCGGAAAAGGGCAGGCGGCACTCCTAGTCCTAGATTCAGCCGTCCCCGGTGACCGGCTGATCACTAACCTAGGTCGTGTCGTGTGCTTCCGTGGTGCCATTTCAAAAAATAAAAAGAAAATTAAGAGTAAGAGAACTGACAGTTACCTGAATGAGTGACGGTTGATGAAGTTCTGAAAATCCTGTGGAGTCGGCTTGTCAGAACAGGCGGTAGGCAGAAAAGGTCCGAAATGTCAAAGCAAGTTCAGGGGTCCGAATGTTCTCAAAAAGTTCTCAAAGTGTGAAAATGACTCAAGACAATCCTCCCTTATATAGGCGAAGTGAGAAGGCGAAGGGTCACTTTCAGAATTCAAAATTTGGGCGGGAAAATATCTCGTCCTTTCGCCGACTGACACCTGTAGAAGGTCGCCGCCTGTTACAGTGCGACACCTATCACAGGTAACACGTGACCAATCACGTGCCACCTGTGAGGGGCAAATGATTAGGGGATTTTGCTCCCACCAATCGGAATGCGCCACGTGGGCCAATCAGGTCCTGCCAAGTGTCCCCCAGTTGGAACTGTCAGGGCTTGCCACGTGGCACGCGCTTATTCGTCCACCTTGGACCTGTTATGTCATGACATGTGGCATACTCCATGCCTAATGGAGAAACCGGCCACCCAGGCCCAACTTCCGAGGGAAGCCCAATCAGCCCTAGGTTAACCTAAACCTAGGATGGGCACGTTTCCCAAGGTTATAAATACCTCCCTTAATCCTCATTAAGGGGGATAACAAAAAAAACACATTAATTACACACAGTAATAACCGGCTGATCTCGCTAACAAAGCAGATTACCTACATTAATCACTCTCACCTAGAGAGACCCAATCACTTTAATTTCCGCATTAATTACTCCTTAATCAAGTACTAACTTGACCGTTGGAGGCGGAGCTCCCAGGAGTCTCCGTTATTTTGCAGGTACAGGCGTCCGGTTCCAGTCTCGGAATTGTAACTCTCCCGCAGGACATCAGAAAACCCCGAAACAGTTCCAAACGTTTTTATATGACCCCGAGATGTATTCCCTAAAATCTCAAGGCTTTTCGACACCGTGACTCGAAACCTCTAAAATTTCTCAAAAAACGTGGATATTAGCCTTCAATTTTGGAATTTTTCGACCTTTTTCTCGCCCGAAAATAAAAATTGCCGAAATATTTACCATGGTCCCTTATACTCTCTGGGAGTCCAATTGGGTGGGTGGAACCATCCAATTTGCCTTTAAACGACCAATATACCAATTTACAACTTGCACTGATTTCATTATCTCAAGCCTACCACAAACATTTATGACAACAAATAATGAACATATATGGTTCCAAACGGCATTATATAACCTCGATACTTGTCCCCTACAATTTAAAGATTTTTTGACACCCGGCCTAGAAACCTCTAAAATTTCTCAAAAAGTGTGGAATTGTGGATATTAGCCTTCAATTTTGGAAGTTTTTGACTTTTTTTCACTCGAAAATAAAAATTACCGAATTGATTACCATGGTCCCTAATACCCCACGGGAGTCCAATTGGATGGATGGAACCATCCAATTTGCCTTTAAACAACCAATTTACCGGTTTACAACTTGCACCGATTTCATTAACTCAAGCCTACCACAAACATTTATGACAACAATTAATGATCATATGTGGTTCCAAACGTTATTATATGACCCCGAGATGTATTCCCTAAAATCTGAAGGCTTTTCGACATCGTGACCCGAAACCTCCAAAATTTCTCAAAAAACGTGGATATAAACCTTCAATTTTGGAATTTTTTGACTTTTTTGGCCAGGAAATAATAATTGCCGAAATTTTTACCATGGTCCCTAATACCCTCCGGTAGTCCAATTGGTGGATTGAACTAATCAATTTGTCTTTAAACGACCAATGTACCGGTTTACAACTTGCACCGATTTCATTAAATCAAGCTTACCACTAATATTTATGACAACATATAATGATCATCAATGGCTCCAAAATACATTATAAGACCCTGAGATGTATCCTCTAGAATTTCAAAAATTTTCGACATCGGGCACCGAATCATCCAAAATTTCTCAAAAAGCGTGGATAAGTATTCAATTTTGGAATTTTCAATTTTTAATTTTTGACTTTCTTTTGCTCGGAAATAAAAATAGCCGAAATGTTTACCATGATCCCTAATACCGTCCGGGAGTCCCATTGAGTGGGTGGAACCATCCAATTTGGCTTAAACGACCAATTTATCGGTTTACAATTTGCACCGATTTCATTAACTCAAGCCTACCACGAACATTAATGACAACAAATAATGATCATATATGGTTCCAAACGACATTATATGACCCCGAGATGTATCCAAGACTTTTCGACATCGGGCCCCGAAACCTCCAAAAATTTCTTAAAAAGCGTGGATATTAGTATTCAATTTTGGAATTTTCGCTTTTTTTTTGCCTGGAAATAAAAATTGCCGAAATATTTACCATGGTCTCTAATACCCTCTGGGAGTCCAATTGGGTTGGTGGAACCATCCAGTTTGTCTTTAAACGACCAATTTACCGGTTTACAACTTGCACGGATTTCATTAACTAAGCATACTACGAACATTTATGACAACATATAATTAATGATCATATATGGTTCCAAACGGCATTATATGACCCCAAGATGTATCCCCTAAAATATCAAGACTTTTTTTACACTGGGCCCCGAATCCTCCAAAATTTTTCAAAAAATGTAAATATCAGCCTTCAATTTTGGAATTTTTTGACTTTTTTTCGCCTAGAAATAAAAATTGCCGAAATGTTTACCATGGTCCCTAATGCATTCCGAGATTCCAATTGGGTGTGTGGAACCATCCAATTTGCTGTTAAACGGCCAATTTACTGGTTTACAACTTGCACCGATTTACCGGTTTACAACGACCAATTTAATTAACTTTCACCGAATCCGACTTGAACCGAAATTGACCCTAACCCGTTTTAACCCGTCAAAACCTGAATTTAACCCGATTTGTTACTAACCTTACCTGAATTCAGCCCAATCCGTTCCTAACCAGATTCGAATTTAACCCAACCTGTTACAAACTCGATCCGAAATCAACCCCACTTGTTATTGACCTGACCCAAATTCAACCCGACTTGTTATTGACTCGACCCGAATTTTACCAGACCTATTACTTACCCGACCTAAAAATTCAACCCGATTTCTTACTATCCCGACTCGAAATTAACACGACTTGTTATTTACCCGGTCAAAATTCAACACAAATTGTTTCTGACCCGATTTCAAATCACCTTAAATGCAATTTAGACCACCTTATTATTGTTGATCATTTTGTCTAGAGAGACCAAGTCGGTCCAGGCCAGCAAACGACAGAAGCATCATCCTCAAATTTAAGAGTTAAATATAGTATATATTTGTTTTATGGTCAAAGGAGATAATTATCTTCCTAAATTATAGACTACAATTCCCTAGTATATTGTCATATACGAAGTATATTATAGTCAAAGGAAATAATTAGCTTGATAAAAATGATAATTATCTATTTATAGTTAGTTGGACCCGAATATGACCTCACTTGGAAATGACCCGACCTTATTGTAACCTGCAAATTATTGACTTGAACATAACCCGACTTGAATCGGAAAATGACCCGACTTGGAAATGACCCAACCTGATTATAATCCGCAAATTATTGACTTGAATCGAAACCGACTTGAACCCGAGAATGACCCTACTTGAAAATGACCCGACCTAATTATAATCCGCAAATTATTGAATTGAACCGAACCCGACTCAAATCCGAGAATGACCCGACCTGATTCTAACCTGCAAATTATTGACTTGAACCGAACTCGACTCGAACCCGAGAATTACCCTAACCCGTTTTAATCTGTGAAAACTCGAATTAAACCCGACCTATTGTTCACCCGACCCGAATGTAACCCGACCTGTTATTAACCCGACCTAAACCTGACCCATACCCGATAAGAAGTATGACCCGACGTGACCCGACTCAAGCACGACCCAACCCAAACCCGACCCGCATAGCTTATAAAATTAATTCGAATTGACCCGACCCGAGTTGACCCGACCCACTCTTACTCGACTCAAAACCGACCCGTTTACCCGAATTGACAACTCTAGCCACAAGTATCAATTTTCCAATGAAAATTAATAACTGTAATTTTACCGGGTTACATATTTGAATCTTGACGTATTTTTTTTATTTGAATCTTTGACATATTAAGACCCTGTAAATAAAACTTTTCTTGATCCCGTTGAACAATATTTACATCTCCTAGGAATTAAAAAAAAAAACTATATAAAAAATACGAATTACCATGTTCTGATTTTTTTTTTTTTATTTATTATTTTACCAAATAGATCACCACTTTAATGATAAATCATACTCTTTTGATTCAACAGAATGTCCGTTCTTTCACCCTCCCTTTACTCTCAATCTCTCATGCACCTCATTTCCCCAAAAAAGTTGAACATTCAATAAAAAACAAAGACAAACTATCACTTTTCTTTTCTTTTTCTCTCTAATTTTTACACAACATAATCATACATTCAAGGAAAAAAGAAAAAAACCAACAAAAAGAAAAGGCAACAATAAAATCATTAATTTGTGTTATGATTGTTGATTGCGATAGATTGAGATGGAAACGTTTGCAAACAGATCAATGTATTGCCATAGGCATAACCCTACAATGGTGAATTCTCATGGTTTGTGGGATGGTAAGAATCCTTTGCGGTCAAGCGTTCCACTTCTCTTAGCTCAACTCATCTTGATATCTCTCACTTCTAAAGCTGCCGAGATTTGCCTTAGGCCTCTTGGACAATCCACCATTGTATGTCAAATTCTTGTAAGTCTTTTCGATTCCACGACTGATGCATCAATGTGTTTGTTTTTTCGTACGTGTGACTTTAGTATGCACCATATGATACCTTTGACGCTCTATGGTTAAGAACGGATTATTGATTAAGTTCCGTCGTATTTGATGAATGTTCAAAAAAAGAATGTGACAATGTTTCTATTCTACTAGTATGTTGTTTAATGTTTTAGTGGTCTCATTTGAGAGGAGGGGGTCATTTTTGCAAAACTGAATCAAATTCTTAAGATGCAAATAGTTTTACCTCGGTGTGTAATGACCATAACACCTTGTGCACAAACTCGAAATCCGTGCATTGTGCCACGGTGTGCTGAACTAGCCTTTAGCGCATAGTAGACTACATAACGAAATAATGATGCTTTTGTACCTTGTAATGGAGTACTCCAAATTAAAATTTCATCTGATTTGAAATGCAGGGTGGTGTGATTCTAGGGCCATCAGTTCTTGGAAAAGCGTCAAATGTAGCAGCAATTTTATTTCCTCAAAGAGGAAATGTAATTATAGAAACACTATCAACTTTTGGCCTTGTTCTTTTCCTGTTCTCAATTGGGGTAAAGATGGATGCTAGCTTAATGTTTAAGCCCGAAAAAATCGCCATCTCAATAAGCATGTCCCTCTTCATCTTTACCCTAATCATTCCCCTGTCTGTTACCATTGCTATCATGAATACAGTTAACATCGAATCCGAACTCCGGAGATCCTTACCTCTACTAGTGGGATCCCAATCCTTAGTAGCTTTCCCAGCAATTGCTTGCCTTTTGGCTGAGCTCAAGATCTTCAACACAGAGGTGGGCCGCTTAGCCGTGGCCACCTCTATGTTCTATGACCTTCTAGTTTTGAGCACCTGTGCCTTCGTGTTTGCATACTTTGAGACTCAGGAAGAGGGCTTCCTAAGGTCGATGGCAGCAATCATGTCCATCTTAGGTTTCATCGTGAGTATTGTTTTCGTGGTTCGGTATCTCCTGTTGCGGTTCTTGGTACCATATAAAGAAACCCAAAGTGCACCCTCAACCTCGTCAGTAGGAGTGAATGAGTTGCAACTAAGTATTATATTTGTAATGCTGTTTATATCTACCCTGCTAAGTGAGATTGTTGGGCAGCATTATTTCCTTGGACCTGTAGTTTTGGGATTGGCTATACCCAATTCATCACCTCTTGGAGCTGCAGTTGTCTCAAAGTTGGATACCTTTGTTTCCGGGTTGCTCTATCCTACATTTCTCGCCATTGGCGGGTTGAAGACAGATATATTCAGTGTTGGTTTCAGGAAATCATGGCAGACAGGAATAATTGTCTTTGCTGGAGTAGCTGCTAAGTTTGCAGCAGTGATGATACCAGCAATGCATGGCAATATACCTTTTAAAGAGGCTTTCGTGCTTGGCCTCGTGATGAATACCAGAGGCATCAATGAGCTAATCATTTACAACTTGGTCTTAGAGGATAAGGTATGAATCCAATCATATTCTCAAAATGAAGACCTTCCAAAAGTATGTAATCTCAATCTAGGGTTAATTTTGTTTCCATGCGTAACACAATTCTTTGCTAACTACAGAAAATATCAGGCCAGGACTTCACTTTGCTGGTACTCTCTGCAGCATTAGTGACTGCAATCATATCTCCTCTTGTCAAAATTTTTTATGGTCCTTCAAGAAGATATGTTCCAGTGACGAGGATGACCATTCAACATCACAAGAAAGACAGGGAGATGAAAATGGTGGTGTGTGTTCACCAACACAACAATGTCCCTACCCTAGTAGACGTTCTAGAAGCCTCAGGTGCTTCCGAAGAAAGCCCTATTTCAGTCATAGTTGTCATCCTAGTAGAAGTCGTAGGCAAGTCAGCGCCCATGCTCTTAGCCTACAGGCCCCAGCGAACCCTTGAGCCAACCAGCTCATGTAACAACCATATCTCCAATGCTTTCCAGCAATATGAACAACAAAATGAAGGCAAAGCCTCAGTGCAGGTCTACACAAACATGTCTCACTTTGATGCCATGCATGATGATGTATGCAGGGTGGCATCTGACAAGAGAGCCAATTTTGTAATCTTGCCATTTCACAAACAATGGGCTATAGATGGCACAGTAGAGGCAGTGAACCGGCCCATTAAGGAGATGAACCTTAAGCTCCTTGAATGTGTTCCATGCTCACTCGGGATTCTCATTGACCGAGGTCCAATAAATGGTTCCTCATCAATTCTCAATAACAAGTCAATCTATCGTGTTGCTGTGCTCTTCATTGGAGGGGTAGATGACATAGAATCACTAGCCTATGGAGCCAGGATGGTCAAGCATGAGCAAGTTGCAGTAACAGTCATCCGTTTTCTACTCTTAGGTCGGGATACTTCAAGAGAGAGAGAGAACGAAAGTGAAACCATTGAGTTCTATAAGAAGGCTAACTCTGGAAATGAGCGGTTCATGTACCAGGAAAAATTGGTAAAAGATGGCGTTGGGTTGGCTGAATCTATTAGAACTATGGATAATAACTATGATCTAATACTAGTGGGAAGAAGCCATCAGCACTCCCCGCTTCTATTTGGACTCCATGAATGGAGTGAATGTCCTGAGCTTGGTGTAATCGGTGACTTACTTGCCTCTCCTGATGCTAAAACCACAGCATCTGTGTTGGTTGTACATCAACAAAAGATGACCGAAAAAATCAACACATCCACTGGTCAAGTGCCACAAAATAGGGATATGTATGTACATGATGAGCCATTTACTGAAAGAATAAGTGACCTTCATAACCCATCAGTGGAAATTTCAATAGACAGTGAAAATAGCCCGATGAAGGACAGTTACTATAGATAGATTCACAAATCCTATTAGGAAAAATAGGTCCTAGGTTAATCCCAATTTTGGATTGAAGTAGCATAGGATATTGTCTTGTAGATGTCTAGGTTGTATCTAAAATCTGTATATATACCTGTCTCAAAAAATTTCCAAGTTTATAGTTCCTCAAAGTTGCAAATATATCAATGAAATAGAAGACCGCATGGCACATTGGCACCTAAGTAGAGAGGGACAGGGTCAACTGATCAAGTCAATTCAGCTTCACTAAAAACTGCAGAACACTACATATTTCTAATTGTTAAAGGGATAAAAAAATCTGCCTTGATCATAACACAGTCATTGTGACCTCGATTTCTCCTGATAATCGCAATCGCTCTCATAAGACTGAGAAATTCAATGACCTTTCAGTCCATATGCCTATCACCCATCAGTATGAGTATGATCGAAAATAGTGCCATGCCTTTTACAGAAACTACAACCAACAGAACGACATAGACATCACACAAATGATCATAAATATTGGAATAGCTAACTGTACAATTTAAACTTCATAAGCATAATAGAACACTTGAAAATCACATAGGGTACCTAGTGCAAAGCTGGGATTCCTATAGAGAATATGAAAAGAGAGGGGAGGACCGAAGCAGGAAAAGTTATTGGCTTTGCATAAAATTGCTGCTTTAATATATAACAGGCAGCGAACTATATTCATATTTATCCAGTAATACATGTAACTCTCCTAGTGTGATGTCATACAAAAAAGTCCTAAACTAAGGAAAACAATTGCTTTTTTGATAAAAGCTGCTTTGTCTCTTACCTATATACCTAGGTATCAGCACATGTATTACATACAAGTATAAAGAATAATGCAATCAAATTTAAGCTCACTGATTTTTAATGTCATTGACATTGGTTTCATCTGAGCTACTGCATTTGACGGAAGAAGCTTCAACAGGATCGGAAACATCAGGAGATGATTCAACACTGCGAGTCTGCAGCCCAGTATAACGTGCCAAATCAATCCATTGCTGCAGAGTTTAAAAAATAAACGTCATTAACAGTGGAACTATTTGATACTCCTTTCAATTCATATATTTAGTTAAAAAAAAGAATATGGTATTGTTTGAGATCCCAAATATAGTCGGAAATTACATTAGAAACATGCTAGGTATTGTATTTTTTGTATATGTGGTATATGACTATGGAATTAATGAATATTCCTCTATTCTTTTGTAATTTCAAAATAACCCACTGATGAGATGGATAAAGTATCAAAGAGTTGGCAGAATTCTGCACTGACAGCAAAGCAATATGCAGTGATAATAACAATAGACTTATTAAGCAAGACACTATAAAAAAGTATCCATGTTAAACTTTAGAGCCATGAACAGTCTTTTAGCATCCAAATCTCACTAGCCAAATTGATCTTTCCCACAAAAGCTAATTGCTTCTTGCCAAAACCTCAAATTGAACAAATGGATTTCTTATGTAGCAACACTATACTTAAAAAGAGTATTCGACATAATATCTAAATGGATATAATATACAAAGTTGTAGTGTGTATATATCACACACTCATTGTGTGTGCTTCTAATTTTGTGCAGAAATATGATTGAGCTTGACAAATCACCACTATTTAACAGTGTCAAGGCCTCAAATATAAAGTAAGTTCATGAAGTATTATTGAGCAGATTAAACTAGCTCAAAAGAAAGGTGTACGAATTCCCAGTTATTCATTATCAGACAAGAGTGAGCTAAAAAGTATGAATGGGAATACTGTTCAGCAGTGATAATGAAATGGAAAGCTAACCTGGGTTCCCCAATAGGAATTTATTACCCTTGCACAAAAGGATAGCATATTTACAAGCAGCGTTTGAGAAGGTAGGAGCTCAGATATACGATGCTCAACTACACCAGCAATAATCTGCAGCAAAAATTCTGAATTAGTAACAGATCACAACTGCAAAATGCTAAAGTAAAGGGAATCACAAATCACGACTCTTCTCCTTCCCTATCATGGACTAGTAGAGCCTGTTTCCTGCTTAATATCAACAGTCAAAGACTTCTATGGCCATTGTTTCATTGCATCAGACATAGTAATTTATAAAAAGTACTCGAATTAATAACAAAAACATATTCAAACTAAAGTTACTTTACAAGAATACATCTTTATTTCCTTGCACAGACCTTAGATAATTTGTACGGGCAGATGGGATATCTAGTAATTTGTACGGACCAGCATGTTTAATTGCCAGCATTTGATGATATAATTTTCCAAAGTAAATGGATTTGCATGATGATGAGGTTTTTGATCGTAGGGGATAGAGGAAGATTTTTTTTTGGATGACTATACGGAATAATCACTTTTGGTTTATGTAGCCTACACTACTCATGGGATTGAGGCTTTGATTTATTGACTGATTGATTGAATTCTTTCTAATTACATAGCGCTCACACAATGAGCTTTAACAAATCGATGAAAGAAATAAATCCTCCATTGGCATATGAGGAAGCCCTAAGTAAATTTATATAAATGGTATAATTGGTATGAATTTTGCATGCAGACATGCAGTAAAATAACTGTTTTTATTAATATCAAACCTTTGCTGCACCAAGGATGCTACCAAGAGATGGTACACAGATTGCACCTTGCATGCAATTGGAAGTATAAGGTAACAACAAACAATATTTGCATAATACCAATCAAAGTTGTTATGACTACAATTAAATTACCAAAGATCAAATTACCTGGTATCGGAGATTTGCTGATGTTCCAAGAAAGCTACTATAGACAACAGCTGTTTTTAGGATTGGTGATCTTTTTATCTTCTGGTTTGTGACCAGAGATGGATTGAGGTAATTACGTAATGCATATAGGATATTTGAAGAAGCAACGGCAGCAATGCTTGATACAAATCCAACTCCAGCAAGTTTCAGTCCACCAAAAACCACTGATGCAAGCCGGTGATTCAGATTCCAGTTTTTCCCAACAGGACTTTTTTGAAAAGCATTGTCTGGGATGGATCCCAACAAACCCTTTAGAGAATCCATACTGTCAGATGTACCCATCTCATCAAAAGATAAGAAGGAAAGGGTTGGGGCTGGAAGCCAAACAGTAAAGAAATCAACTACAGCTCCCCTGACTGAGTCAGTAATGACATAGTCAATTTCCAGGAAAAAATTTTCTTTCCGTTTCTCATACTGTGCAATCAGAGTTGTTGTCAGTGATATAGCTTCTTCAATAGCTAATTTGTTTAAAAATTTTGGATCTGCTAATAATCTTTCTCTGAAACCCTGCACAGAAGGTATATACATTTATGATATGGTCACCTCTTTAAAAAAAAAAATCTCCCTCCCCAAACAAAATATAGTCATCTATAGCCTTTGAAATTAAACAATCTTGTAAAGTATGAAGAAAAGAGCTCTATGCATTTTGAAATTAGGATAAGCAACAAAGCATTCAATCTGACAACTAGCTTACCTGAAACCGATGAGTAAGTTCTGATATAATGGGATACTGCTCCAAATCAAAGAAGTTTTGTAGCACCTCCGGAGACACAAGACCAAGATCAAGTCCTTCCTGAAGGTCCTGAGAGGTGTTTTAAGAACATTGATCAGGTCAAAGAATGATGCTAGTGAAACAAACACTTGATGCTTATTGCTAAAAACTTTCTTGATTACTAGATGAGAGAAAACATAATTACAAATTTGGACTCTAACTAGAGGACTGGATAACTGTTCTATGCAGTTTATAATATCACTTTCCTTATAGTTTAATTTAAAAATGGTTTTCTATAAAGATTCAAGTCATACAAGAGGATGAAATGATACCACTTCTGAGATACAAAAAAGAGAATTAAATTATATAAGAAGTCTTTATTTCATGTTTGTAAGATTGTTAAAATACTGTTGTATTTTATGTCAAGAAGAATGCAAGATAGAAAAAATTATCAGATCTCATAATCACATATGTTATGCATCCTCTATTTATAAAGGATAATAAGAAAAAAAGAAACATGTTAATCAAGATATCGCAAAACATGTTTTCAATTGAGAAGTTGTGAAACATGTTTGATTAAGATATCACAAATAGCCAATAAAAGCTATTGTACATTTCCTGGATGTCAACTAAAGCCTTGAGTTACTCAATATATGAATATCTCAATGTTGATTTTGCAAGAAGGAAGCTAATGTTTCACATTTGTAAGCTGACTGCCATCATGTAACATGTTGATGCTTTAATTTGATGACATTCATTCTAGCAAGTGATGATCCGTAGATAGAAAAATTCAGATGTAGGTACTTTAAGGACTGTTATAATACTTACACTACACAAAGCAAGGTTGCTGATATGTTATTATGGCTGCAAAGCATGGAACCAATTTGCATTTCTCATGGGAATGTACCCATCAAGACACAACTATCCTGTTACATAGTTACAATTATGGAAATCTAGAAATATTTTAGGGTTGCAGGCATCCCAGTAATTAAAGAAGAAAAGTTCATCTTTACGGATACCATGAGTAAAGAACATATAATGACAATTGACAATTGCAGATTGACCTGTTTATCTTTGAGGTTGAAAAAAGGTTAGCCATACAAGTTTCTGGTGGATGTTTTTCTTGGGAAGAGGTATGAAGTCTTAAATTCAGTGAGGAAAATCAGGGAGCATGCAACGAAGGGTCGAAAGTAGCTTAACCAAAGTATCAGGCCAAATTACTCAGTCTGAGTTTAAATGTAGCGAGTTTAAATGTATTAAATAGCAGTCAAGTAGTCAAGCAGATGATCCATCTTAAGTAATAACAATAAGAACTAGTTACCTTAGGAAGTGCATCTCTTCTCCTGCCAGCAGCATTCATAACACGTGCAATTTCAGCACGATCAAAACAATTCCTACTGCAAGGTCTAGCTGCAGAGTACCATAAGAAATCAGCCACAGGAACTTCTCCTTCTCTTCTCATAGATTGCCTTTCTGGGTTGAGTAGCATAACAACTTGGTTCTTCTTTTGCATTTTCTTTGAAATTCTTGCTGGAATTCCTGTGCCTCGAGGTCCATAAATGACATGACTTGCACCAGTGATAACAACAAGCAACCCAGAAGCTCCTTCATCTGTCACTGCTTGCAGAATGACCTGAGCAATAGTATAATCCTCTACAGCCCTAGCTTGTACTGAGAGATATGAGTTTGGACCAAAAGTTAATGCCTCGTTCAAAGAAGTCGGCTCCTTATATGATTTACGGGAAAAAGCATTAAAGCCTGCTGTAAATCCTGAACCAGCTGGAGGAGTGTATTTTTTACGATCAGCATTTGACAGTCCACGAATGCCTTCAGCTTGGACAGTCCTCATCACCTAGTTGTATCAAATTTAAACTTAATACCATTAAAATTGGGAAAAATATATTTAAAAGGAGAAAGGATTTGGTAACACACTAACACTTCTAGCACATACATCCAAAAGAAAGCATTATCTGGTAATAACTGTAATTTCAATCGGTCATTTGGTTTTAGAAGTGGGGGTGAGATGATAGGAGCAAAAACTCACTGACCACATACTTCAATGCTCAGCACATTCACAGAGCAAGAGAAACCATGAGATAGGAAACACAATACATAACCAAATTTCCTGGATGACAAAAGATGTAGGGGAAGAATGTTTCAGGAAAAACAATATCTATGTCACATAGGCAAATGGCTTCATAATATCCTAAGGCTCAATGGCCCATTCTACAATAAGGCATCAAACATTTGCAGTTCTACATGGTGTCTTTAAAAAGTTTATATTAGCATTAAATAAAAAATCGCTCTTGGATGATGTAGTTATTACAAACACACAGGTATAAAAGAAAGCACCTCAAGTGGAGCACCACAAGCAACCAGGCGAACTTTATTATCACGGCAGTAACCTAAGAGAGGTTCATATTCCTGCCATCGCTCAGGTGGCCAGTGTGCTGTAAAAGACCTCAAGGTATCCCCATCTATCCTGTCAAATGTTTCACAAACTTTTTAGAAATAGGAGTTCTTGCTAAGATGTAACTGGAAAACCAATTTCATGCATAATTTTGCAGATCATATAGAGCACAATAGGGTTGCAAATAGTTGACAGTGACACCCTACAGCCTGAAACTGATGAGTGTTATAATAAACTTTTAAGACTGCTTACTAAGTTCTTTAACTCGTAAACAAGCACAAATTGTGCTTGGTCACCCTCTAAAGTATTGACCACCACCACCAAATATGGCCTTCTACGGTGTCTCAGGTTCAGAGTTACACACATTGGCTTATGCAATTTGCTTATTTCACCAGCTGTTAGTATTGTTTTATTTAGTTATTAGTAGGGGAAAATCGTCTGTTACTTTACAAGCTAGTTCAAAAGTCATTTATGAAACATTTTTTTTTACTATTTGACAAAATAATTAAACATTTCAAAAACAGGCTAAAAGCCATATGCCATAACAAAGCCATATCACCAAAATTTCAAACACTCACCAAGAAACAGTACTACAGTAGCAAGTCCCTAAGTTGGATTTCAAGGATTATGTAAGTAATTTTTCCAGAAAGACAATTATTAATTCATTTGAAGCTAAAAAGTCAGTAAAACAAACACAACATAAAAGGAAGAACTTTATCCGAGACCTAAGGTACCAACAAGCAAAATCTTAACTACTAGGAAAACCTTGTCAGCAAAACAATGTATGTTCTCTTATAATCCATATCATATTAACAGGAATTTGAATTCATTTCCAAAATATCTAATCACATAAATTGAAAACAAATAGAATTAAATGAGATGTTATTTACATGAAGTATATAATAGCAGTAAGTTCAAATCAGTTTCATTCCCTAACAAACTATGTTCATAGAAGTTCAACCATTTTGAAATTCAAATATTAGAGACATATAGCTCCAGTTCGAAATCGTAATAAGTCTACTCCTTATAAGATAAATTCCATTCACATAAATTCAATCAAAGCTAAAACATTCACAAATCAACAAACTAACAAATTAAATCAAGATAACACTACTACGAGTAATTATTAACATAAATTATGAAAAATTAAGAGTAGAAAAATAGAGAATTCAACCTTCCATCCATAAATTGATTGAGCTGCTCCTGCAAATTACAAGGAAAAGCTTCAAGAGCCAAAGAAAGAGTGCGATTACTCTCAACACATCTCTTCCTCAAATTCTTCACAATTTCAACCTCTAATTCTTTATCGCCGCCAATCGGAACTTGTTCCGCTTCACCTAAATAGACAATTCTCGCATTCATCACCTTCTCCCACACCTTACTCTTATCTTTCCCCACCGCTAACGGCTCTCCAATCGCCGTCGCATCGTATATCCTCGAAGAAATCTCCTCCACCTTATTCTCCGCCGGAGGTGCCGGCGAAGGCGGAGTAACCGCTACTTCTGGAAGCTTCTCGTCTGCCTTAACAACCGCTGACCGGAGGAAACCAGCGCCAACAGCAAGCAGTGGTGTGAAAATAATACCTCTTCTTCCGCGGCTAACTTCGTCGGAATTCTCGTGATTTTCGCCGGAATTTCTGACAGTAAAACGACATCTTGAGGTTAGAACACGCCGGGAAACACGGATGTTCGCCGGAATTTGAGGATTTTCCGGCGAGAATTTGGCGGCGGAGTGTTGGAGAAGCCGTGGAATGTAATCAGCGCCTGGGTGAGCTTGAAGCTTCATTGATGGCGAGGAGAGAGAAAGTGATACATTCACAGGGCAACTCAAAGAGCTTGGTGAAGAAATGGAAGGAGAATAAATGGAGACATGGATAATTTTCTGCCTCAAAAATAAAAGGAAAATAAAAAGGAAATTGTGGGACGAATAAAAAGGTTGGGTTTTTTGGGTTTTCTGACGTGGATTTTGCGGCGAATTGGTTTGCTGATCTGTACTAGTTGAATGTCCGAATTCATTTTGTTAATTATCGTGGGAACCTCTCGCTGGTTTTTGAATTCGACATCCAGGAAGTGTTTTCAAACCATCGACCGACATCGACTCATCCCAATCTGTATATTTTTAATGGTCCGTCTTTTTTCTACTAGTAGAAAATTTTATAGAATAATCAAGTGATGGAGAAAATGTATACTTAATCATCCAATTTTGATTAAACATGTAATTTTGTTCTATTATCTTGAATATTATCTTTTAAAACCTCAAGTTAGCGATCAAGATTGGTTTCGGGATTTAAAATCCTTTGGGTTGAGTTTAATGGTATGGCATGAGAATTAGGCCAAAAAGTCTATCATAATGTAATATAATTTTAAGTTCTTTGGGTTTTCTTCCCATAATGTAATATAAGTTTTGGTTTTTTGTTTAAAAAAAATAATGGTACGAAATAACATGGTATATAAATGTGGCTTACCTATGAAGAAAAAAGGACATTATAAATGCCTAAGAGCATGAGCATTGGTGAGGTTACTCACCATTATCCACCTCACTTTCAATTATCTTTTTTATTTATTTTTTTTCCAAATCATCTTCCACCTCACCTTCCACTATCATAAACTACTAGTGTGAGTCACCTTATTTATTTATCTACAATGGTGAGGTTACTCACCATTCTCTCTCCTAACTACCCCATCATTTTCTCTTTCTCACTCTTGTTTTATTTTATATTTTTTAAAACATGTATTAATCTCTATTATTTATTTGTAATTTTTGAACTTACATAATTAATTAAAAAAAGTTAGACATTCTTTAGTGCAATATTAATAGTCATTATAAATAGTATCACTTATGTATGTAAATTGAAACAATTTTTTTTTCTAATTTTTGAAATAAAAAGTACAAAAATAATACAATATATAAATAACATAGTTTATTTAGCAAAGACATCCATTAAAATTTAAAATACAATATTCATTAACAGCGACTTTTGTCATCTCTTCATTCGTTGTCGAAACGTCCCCATATATGTTCAACCAAGTCATTCTTTAGTGCAATATGGGTCTCCCTATCACGAACATTATTTCTATTTTCCATATAACCATTTAGATTGAGCCTATCCAATCGTCCACTTCTCACAGTAAATGGTTGGTTGTTGTTACTAGTTGATGATTCAGCTACATTTTGGGGTTGGTCATTGATAAATTCAGTTGCATCATAATGCAAATATCCATCTCGCTCATCTTCAACAATCATATTGTGCATGATAATACAAGCCATTACAATTTTCCATAAAATTTCGGTCGACCATGCTAGACTTGGTTGACGTATTATTGCAAATCGAGCTTATAACACTCCAAAGGCACGTTTACAGATAAGGTTTGTAGATATATGAGATATGATTTTCGATAAGGTTTACATATTTTCTACATTGGTAATTCGTTGAATGGATAAACAACTCAAAAAGATTACATTTCTGATAAGGTTTGTAGATTTCTTTTGTATGACAATTCAATGTATGGGTACACAAAACAGTAAAAGATGAGATTCTCTGATATTATTGCTTACAGATTTCTTGTCAACATGTGACATTTCAATGTAGCATTGCATGTCGGTCATATTTTACAACATTTCTCATTATTGAGCTAGTTTTATATTATTATTATTTACAAGATATAATTTATTGGGTAATAAACAAAGAGCAATTATATTTATTAAAACATTTACTTCAATGCATTAAGAAAAAACAACAAAATATTACAAAGGAAATTGTTAAAGCAACATAAGTAACATACATTACATCAATTAAAACTAGAATAATACACATGTAGTTTGACTACCATAATTGATATTTAAACTAGCCTAGAAGATGTGCAAATTCTTGCTTTAATTTTAGATATATTTCTTTTTCTCCTTCAGATAGAATTGGTTTTGCAAGAAAGACACTAAATAGCTTGAACCTTTTTTCTTCTTGTTTCTTCCGAGCTTTGATGGCATCTCGCTCCTTCTGATACTCTAGCATACGTTCTGCTACATCAATTCGCCTTTCATCAACATCTTTGTGTTGACCTTTCATTACATTCATCTCTGATAGGGCTTGAGTAAACGACTCTAAATTTTTAATTTCAGAACTACCCCCAATTGAATTCCAGAATTGAAAACAGATTTACCTTTTCTTTTAGATGCTTTCACCCCGTCAGGACGACGGCGACGAGTATGAGTTTTTGGACCTTCATCAGTTGGAGTATCTGGCTCTGATCTTTTCGAATTGCCACCATCACTAGAAGGTAAATCTAGGTCTATTGGCTTCCATTTGTCTAACTCTCTCAACATCTCCCAACAACCAATTAAACCAAAGCGTGAACCATTACATGTTCCTCTATATATTTCATGAGCTTCGGTCATTTCATCATGAGTGTTGGTACCACTCATATATCTTTTTTTTGCTTCACTATAGCAACCAACCCATATACTCACATCTTTATTTATTCTTGCCCACCGACTTTTAATAGATCTTAAAGTTCTAGGGCGCATGGTGGATGGATTTTCTTCTCTAGCTTGATCATAAAGGGATTTTATGTTCCTCCACATTACCGCCAAACTTTGATTAGTTGCCGTCTCTGGATCTTCAACTGCACACTCTACCCAAGCCGAAACGAGGGCATCATCTTCTTTTGCACCCCATTTTTCTGCCCTTACATTAGTGTTGCTCCCGTGGGGACCTTGAACAACATCATCATCACCAACACCATCAACATCATCATTGGCTTGTTGTTGAACCCTAGGATCATCGGGTGGGGTTAAGTTACTGCTTCTTTCTCCCTCGGGAGTTGCTGGACTGTTTTGAATTATTTGGTTCACACCATAATGTTGCGACATTGGGAACATAAAACCAGAAGGATAATTTTGGGGAATTTGTTGCAAATTTTGGTTTAAAAATTGGTTTAAGAATTGTTGGGTGTAATTTTGGTTTGGAAATTGATTTGGGAATTGTTGTACAAATTGTTGGTTTGGATGCGTTGGTTGGTTAGGAATGTTATAAAATAACATCCTTTGAGCGTTTGGATTATAAGGGTTATTTGGATCAAAATGAAAATTACTTTGAAAATTTGGAGAATTGGAAGATTGGTTATTTGGATTATTTTGAGAGGAACCACTTCCGTAATTAGGATTATTAAGATCCATAATCACAAATTATTTTTATAATGAAAAAAAGAAGAGTGAAATTTTAAGGGTGAGAAACTATATCAATATTAGGCTCTATTTATAGATTAAATTATAATTATACCGTTGGTGAAATTATTTTTTGGAAATATGTTTAAATGAAGTGAGAAACTACCGTTGGAGCATTATAGCAATACTAACTGTTAAAAATTAATATAGCCGTTGCATTCTACAACAAACATCAAACACAACTTGCAATATTCATGACAAGTGTCATGTGATAATTGGACCTAAAAAAAATAAATCAGATTCTTTGGTTTAGAAAGTCAGCAACTCACGCTCATACTCAGTGCCGCTTTAGACGTTGCTACCTCATACTGTGAGTAAGTAATGAGTCAGATATTTCAATGGTAAGCTAACTCAAAAAAAGTGAGAGATGGTTATGAGGAGGGTACTGACTCACTGTTGTACACGCTCTAAATTAGTGGCAATGAGATAACAGCATAGTCAGCATCTACTAGTCTACTACTCTACTAGGCATAGTATGCGAATCAATACAATAACTATGTAGCTATGAACTAGGCACCAGTTCAATCCAAGAAAGCAAAAGGAAAATACGTAGTATAAATTTTGGACTAACACAATTCACAAGCAGTAACAAACAATGAGGTCTTGCCTCATTTAGATCCCCCTTTTCCCAATTGTATTGTTCATTCGGACCCAAAAGCAAGCAAAAAATAAAAAGAGAGATGAAAACAGTAGGAGGTTGTAACCATTGAGATTATAGCCTTAAATATGAACCCATCCTACATTGTAATATTGTATCGTGTGGAGGTTAGAACGCTATTGGAATCAACAATGGCCAACGCGCAAAAAACTCTCAGTTAAGACCACTATCAACAGTGAGGAAAAAAAAAAAAACCTCTCAATCTCTCTCTACCCACTTTCTCACTCCTCCCATACAATTTCTCTCATCAAATGTTTTTTTCACTACATCAATGAGGAGAAAAAAAAACCTCTTATCACTTTTTCCTCCACTATTTACTATACCCCACCATAATACACATCATCTTTTTATTTTATCTTTATTTTGAAATAATGTTTATACTACATATTTAATTTTCCAATACAATTAAAATATGTGAAAATAATTTATTTTTTAATTACGTTTAAAAATAATTTAATAAAAATGTATAATTTAATAACAATTTATAAGTTTTATATTTACTTTTCAATTACGTTTAAAAATAATATAATAAAAATTTATAATTTTTATATTTATTTTTCAATTACGTTTCAATTATAACTTAATAAGATTGTTATTTATTTGTCAATTACGTTTTAATTATAATTAATAATAATAATAATGATAATAATAATAATAATAATAAAAATAATAATAATAATAATAATAATAATAATAATAACAACAACAACAATAATAATAATACTACTACTTTTTTTTGACAATATAATAATACGATTTTTTTCAAGGATTAATAAATTTAACAGAAATAATAATAAAGAAATTAATAATAATAATAATAATAATAATAATAATAATAATTATAAGAATACCAATAAAACTACTACTTTTTTTAAATTAACACTACTACTACTACTACTAGTAATAATAATAATAATTATAATAATAATAATAATAATAATAATAATAATAATAATAATAATAATAATAATAATAATAACTGAGGGTTTTTTTTTTACGAATAATAATAATAATAAAAATGATGAAAATAACTCAAAGAAATTGGGAAAAGAAGGAAATTTGTAGTATTTATGGGTTTTTTGAAAGTATATCAAAATATATCAAAATGCATGTCTATTTATAGAGAAAAAAAAAATCTATCCGTTGGTGAATTTTGTTTTTTTTTTTTTTTTTTTTTTATAATTACAACGGTTATATTTACCTTACAAAAATATAACCGTTGTAATAAAAGCAAAAAAATCTGATTGGTTGGAAGGACAAAGCCTGACGCGTGTCGCATCCCCATTGGCTGGGTCTGACGCGCGTCAGGCCAGCTGCCCCCTTATTTTTTTTCCCTTTTTGCCCCTCAAAACGGCGTCGTTTCGCCCTTCTTTAAGGCAAAACGACGTCGTTTTGCAAGCCAGAAAGGAAAAAAAAAGGGAAAGCTGCGTGTACATGTGGGGCCCACCGGTTACTGTTCACGAGTATTTCCCCTCAACTCTTGTGCGTTTTCCATAGCTCTCAACGGTGAGGGTTTTTTCCCTCACTAACGTAATGCTCGGGTATTTTTTTTACACCTTTATTTTTACTCGTGAGGGCTTTTTTCCTCACTGCCGGGAGTGCTCTTACAACTCTTACATGTACTGTAGAGTACATAATTACAACTTTAACTTCTCATTATAATATGGGTTAAGAAGTTTTTAGTTAGATGGCTAATTTAGAAATATACAAACTTTTCATTCACAAAGATTCTCGATGTCATCACGTCAATACATCACACCGCAACAGCTGAGAAAAAACATCTTTTCCCAACGGCCTTCAGGTCAGTTAGTTGCCATCCTTTACCTTCAGAATAACACTCCGCCTACCACCAAAAATAAAGGCAAGAGAGGAATTTGTTATCAATATTACAAATTATTGTAATCAGCAAAGTTTACTTAAGAAAAGCACGCTTAATTACTTACCGTGTCCAGGATTTCCTCGTTCTCCTCCATCCCACCTATTGCATAGATAGTGTTTCCAAGAGTCACACAACCCATGTATCCTCTGGCATATTTCATCGGTTCCAACATTGTCCATGAACCAACGCGAGGCTCGAAAACTTCAACAGTGGGCACCATTTGAGCTCCATCATACCCACCAATGGCATACCTACACATGAAGTATACTAATGAGTTTGCCTATGCTTTTGGTGCATGTGAAATTCACTTGATAAAACTGATTTTTTAGTGGTAACCACTAGAGCAAAGACTACACGTCTACACCACAGTTCTTTAATTCTTAGTAGAATGGTCATGGGAAATAAGAGATCATTTAACAGCACATTCTGTTCATGGACATGGCAAAACCATCTAAATTGAATTTCCATCTAAAATTTCACATAATATCAGAGAGAGAATACAATTTAGATATTGACTGAAACACTATCTCACATTAACAAATGGGAATTTAGAAAAGTACATTAAGGGATTGTGATAACTGCTTAAAATATTGAAAGAATGACAAACTCTACATTTCTTGTCTCTTGTATTTTTACTTCTTAAAACAAGTCTGCTGTAAATAGTCTCTTTGCAACTGCTAATACTAGGCTACACGAGAGAGGTATCTAAGTGATCGTCCTTGAATCCAATTTATATAAATTGCAACGTGTGCAAGTATATTGTACTTGTAATAGGTAATTCAGAGTTTGCCAGAATCCTAAAACTACACTATGTAGCCACTGCTGTTTCACTAGTCTCCTTCCCCTCTTACTAGTGAGAGTAGTGACCATTTTTTAGATTACCAAAGTCATCAAAGTCTCAAAGATAGGAAGGGGAAAAAAAAAAGAAGCAAACCTTGATCAACCACAAATTCTAAATATGAGAAAGACTACTTACAACTTTTCATTCAGAACAGTCAGAGAGTGGCATCCTCTTCTTGTGTTCATACTCTTTAATTTAGTCCATGATTGTGCACGAGGATCAAATCTTTCCATGGACCTGCAAGGTGAGTGCTAAATGAATTTTCAACCATGACAAAATAATTTAAGAACTAGCCATTTCAGCAGGAAGCAGTAGACAGATTTTTGTAACAAATATATTACAGAAATTACATCTGACAAGGAACTGCAAACAGGAAATACAGGATCATGAAAAAAACCAGTGATGAGGAGCCACAAAAATAAATTACTTCAGATAATTCTCGAAGATATATTACCAAAAAAAAAAAAAGGCTCGAAGAAATATACCGCTATCCCCTACCTTCATTAGTAAATGACTTTGAGATTAGATTCATGTTATGGGGAGACCATGCAACTTTTGATCATAATCTTACTTTTTAGAGTATTGTATAAATGATCTTGATTTCAAAAAAAAAAAAAAAAAAAAAAAAAAAAAAAAAAAATTGTAAAAATGATCTAATACCTTAAGTAATAATTGTAGTGTCTCCAATAATATACTAATGATCTTGTCACAACTCATAATTATCTTGCACTTGCAACATACAATTGGTGGCTTGGTAAATGATTTGACATAAGAAATCCAATATCTTCTAGATAAATAGCCATAAAATGCCTTGCTTTTTTTCATAAAACGTGACATATTTACCATTTTGAAACACTAGCACAGAAACCTCCATGAGACTCCTAAATATCACAACAGATTTCAGCAAAAAGGAAAACAAAAAAAGGTCATTGTGAAGGGACAAGACACTATACATCAACACACAACCAACAATGGAAAACAAGGAATGTAAAGGTACTGTAACTTACCTTAAGTATTCACGACCATCATATCCACCAACAACATAAAGCACGCCATTTAACTGTGCTGCAGCTGGGCCAAACCTCTGAAAGTTCACAAGAAGAAAATCACCTTGATTGGGCTATGACAGAAATTAACAGACAAAATATTTACTGAGATAGGCCTCCTGTTCCTACAATAACACACTTTGGATAGCAAACACTTGAATAGTTCAAAGTGCCTACTGGTACTAAAGGTTTGGGAAACCTCTCTTATGCTTCTAGATCAGAACAATGCTTATAAAATTTCAAAATATTGAGAAAGAACCAAGCCATAATATAAAGAAAAAAGGCAAAAATGTATACTTTAGCAAATGTAGATGCTGATCAGCTAGCAAGTAAAAACTTTGGGACAATTCAGCAAGACTAAAAATAAGTTACAGTTAATTTTCTAGACGAACAAGATATTCAGCTACACAATCAAAATGCAAGAATGGATATTCATATGCGGTTTTTAGCTTTTTGCATGTAATTGAACAAGAAAGGATTGCTTACGTGAAAGCATATAATCAGAGGTAAAGCAAAAACTTGATAGTAGCAGGATGAATTATGTACATTACCTCTTGCGCCATTGACCTGGTAGTGATCCACTTTCCAACATTCAAATCAAGTAATTCAACCTCCGAGAAGCAGTCACTAGCATTCCCACCTCCTATAGCGTAAATTTTCTCAAAGAAAGAAACTCCTGCCAAACTCCCTTTCTTCTTGTTCAACGAAGGGCAGCTCATCCACTGATCCTTTTCAAGGTTATAAGATTCAACTTTAACCATGAAAGAAGAATCAAAATTAATGATGATATATTCTAATATTAGCATTAAAAGATAGGAGAAAAAGATGGAATGAGTCATATATAAATGATTAGTACCTGTGTCATACCAGGATGTACCATATCCACCTCCTAAAATGTATAATGCATTCTCATGTTTCACCACAGAAGCATATGGACGGATAGTATTCATTGGTTCAAGAGATTGCATCACATCTTCAGAGGGCAGGTACAAATCCAAGTCCCGAAGCCAGGAGGAGCCACTAAATCCACCTGCTAAAAGTATGGATTGACAGGAATCTTGAGAAGTTCTCTGGAACTGGAGATCCTCAACATGTCCACATGAATGAGAGGACAGAGACATCCCCAATCCCCGAAAATTTTCCAACTCGTAAACCTTTTTTTTGGTTTCTATCTGCATGTCAATATAGTCACATTCAAAAAAATCCGTTAGTTCTTGCACATCAACGGATCAGAAGCTAATGTCCATCAAATAACCGCAGCTGGAAAGGAGGGGAGAGGGGAAATAAGTCGTAAAAAACAGTGGCCAAACAATCTGGAGGACATTTCTCTAAAATAACAGCATGCAAAATTATTATAAAGTTTTGCAGATAGAGCTTGATTTTAGAGATTGCAGTTCATTTTGTATCGTAGTCGTTATTCCTGTTTTGGGATATGTATTTGAATTCACGACCACTTTTGTGGTTTTTGATAGTCAACCACTTAGCCAAGATATAACAATAATAATGTGTAAATTAAAAAAGAAAAGCAACACAATTATATTGGAAAATCCCTACCAAATCTTGCTCCAAGCTCTGGATTCTCCGCGTTTGATCCAACTGAAATGCTTTCATCTCCGCAATTGCTTGGATCAACTACACAAAATAGATACTCTAAGGATCAACAACACACAAAGATGGAGAGAAATGAGAAGAAACTGAAGTTTAAACAACAAATATAATATACATAATCAAAATATAATATATATAATCAAAATATAATATATAATATATAAATTACTACAACAACAAAGCCTTAGTCCCAAAATGATTTGGGGTCGGCTAACATGATTTGTATTGGGGCTAAGCCTTACTTTCACACAAGTATGGTGATCAACAAAAATTGCTTTGACCAATAAAAGCATAAAGTGACAAGTACGGTACCTTATTAACACCAGTATGATAATCTGTGTTCATCTCTGAACTGATTTCTTCAATAAAATAATTCACTTCTGACAGAATAGATGTTTCATTCACATAGGTCACTTCTGACACATTAGGAGCTTCATCAAATTGAGGCACTCCTGTCATAAGAGGAGCTTCATCCACACAAATGGCTTCAGACATAACAGGAGGAGCTTCATCCACACAAATGGCTCCAGACATAACAGGAGGGGCTTCATCTATGCAAACGGATTCAGTCATAGCAGGAGAAGCTTCATCTTCTGACATATTCGAAAATCCTTCACTGTTGGAGTCTTCTTCTTCCTTTTTAGAAGTAGAATCAGACTGAGGTTTAAACAAAGAGCTCCATGATTTCCCTTCAGAGGAAGTATTAATATTTCCCTGCCTCATCGCTACATCTTGATCAGCTGCAGCTTCCTTTCTTTGTTTATCTTTACCGTTTCCCAAGTTGTCAGCTTCTTGGTGAACCATTGGAGAAATTGCTTGTTTAAACAGAGTACCCCACTTAGCTGTAGTGCGGGGGACTGCAACACTTTTGCTAACTGGAGAAGCTGAGAACAAAGAGATTAACTTATTGGTTTGGACTTTGTCCAACTCAAACCAAAAATGGTTGGGCTCATAGTTGCTGTAATTATTAGCAAGAATAGGCTTGTACTGCTCTTCAGTAAGAGGTCGGCATGGTATACGAACCTTCACACGAACCTTATAACAAGCACAAACAAATTTATGTCAACTTTTGAGTTGCTAGATTTGCCTGGATAGCTTTACCTACAGTAAAGAATTAAATTTATATCATGACAAAAGTACCTGTGCAGGAAATGGGGTCTCATCTTCGCCATTTAAGGTCCATGCATATGGATTAATGTTCAATTGACCGGGAGATATTGCCTCAAATATCCCATGAAGTTTTCTGTCACTGTAGTTGAATAGGAATAGAGGCATGCCTGGAGTAACATGTTGCACATACTGAATATGTGCAGAGGGTAAGCCTGTTCAAGAATGCAGCAAATTGTTTGATCAAAAAGCCAGATTGTGAATACTTATAGCAAAGTGCAAATTATGAAAAAAAATATATCAATTTTGAGCAACAGGTAGCTAACTAACCAAATAATTGTTTGATAACACATTCATTGAAAGTGGCATGTTTGCAACCAAAGATAACCGCGACGAGGTCTTTCTTTGGCAATCTACGAGCCGACCAGGGATTTTGATTAATCGTATGTTGCGGAGGTGGCTTACTCTGCAACGGTACAGACTCTGTCTTCCTACCAGCACCCATCCTATCAACCAAAGTTAATGCATTTTCGCTTAAGAAGTTAAAGCCAACTCCAATACATGCTTACACAATTAAAACATAACAAAACAAATAATTAAGAAAAAAAGAAGCTCGGTAATAGTAATAAGAGAAAGCAATATATTTATTCCAAGATTATAATTCCTACGCACAAATCATAATTGAATACACTTCCTTTTTCAGGCATCCAGTAAGGCCGTAACATAATTCTACTGTTACTAAAAACCGACATTATGTTTTAACAAGTTATTATCCAAATTTCTCCAGGGAGCTGGTAAGATATACACCGTCCACTACTCCACCATTCAAATCATAAGTGATATGATTAAACACAAATACTGAGTAATAAACTATAATGTGCTGGGTTCAAACTATCAATGAGAAAATCGACATGATGTAGCCCTGTAAATCTGTAAGCAACGTAAAACCACCATCACCAACTTTTACTAAACACCCAGAGGTTTCAGATGGCTGGACCTGAATATCTGCATTAAACCTTAAGATTACTACACCCTAAAGGCCTAAACACATCTCACAGACTTTGTTGTTGACTGCAAATACCACTAGACAAAACTGGCAGGGTCAGTTCACATTATACTTGAGCAGTTGAGCTAATCTTTGACAAAAGGTCAATTAATCATTTTGTAACCAAATTCAAATATTGGAGTGAAGATATGAGCTAACAATCAGTTAATCACCCTAGCATAATGCATACTGTGTTTACATATGCAGTTTTCTAAACAATGCTGTATAATCAACAACGTGACACCATCTTTCTCATAATCAACCCAATAACAGAAATCGCTCAGCAAAAATTTCATACCCAAAAAAAATCATTACATGCAGCATAATACTCTCTCCGTCCTATATAGTACACATTAATAATTGCACATTCGCGCCAAAATAATTAAGAACATGAATACATGATTCTACTAAAAGAACCTAAAGTAAAATATACTTCGTCTATCTTACACTCTTTAGTCTCCATCACACAATTTCAATGGGGCTTTTGGACAGTCCATCGTCCATCACAGTTTCACAAAAAAACCATACATTTCTTTCGGACATCCCATAATAGCATATGTGACTATTACTTCTAGACAGGCGGGGTAGTATCAAGACAAAGACCATAAGGTTGAGCTACTTCAATATCAGGTTCAAAATTACAATTCTCAAGCTAAAACTTTACAAATAGCCACTACTCTAATAAACCACCATCCATTCAACATCAACGCAAAGCTAAATCCATAATTTAAGCTCAAAATTATAGTGATTGTGTAGTTAAATCTTCAATTTAACTCGTCAAAGGCGACGACGACAATTTAAACACCTATCCAATAAGTAAATTCATCAAAATTAACAACATGAACCTAATAGATTTTCAAAAACCACAACATATATCCCTCAGCACATCCAATGAAAAAAATACACTAAATTCACATTATTTGCACAAATTCATCGTCAAAAATAACATAGAAAACAAAATCAAAACCAAGCAAAAAAACCAAAGTTTTTTTAACAATAACACCAACATTTCCAAACGCTGAATAATAATAAACAAGCAAAAACAAAACAATTCCACAAAAATGCAAACAAACAATGAAAAAACTCACACAAAACAGCATTACATAAACAATTACAGCAGATTAACAAAAATGAGAATATTTCCAAAAATAACCAAAAAATAAGATCAAAATTTTGCCAATAATGGAAATTAAACCTCAAATTCACGACGATCAAAAGCAAATTCACGACGTTCCACAAACTTGAAAAGCAAGAGACGAAATACGGCGGCGTTAAACGGAGTAGTAGTGCCGGAATTCTGGAAAGAGGAGAGAGAAAGATGAAGTATGCGTAAGAGAAGTGGAAAAGGTGGTGGTGTAAATGTGTAACAGTGTTGGGGTTTATGAAGCGCGAAAAAGGAATAGTAGTACACTGTATCAGGAAATGTACGGGATGAACTGACACGATATATATGTAAGTTTACGGTTTTACCCCTATATTTTTGTTGTGTAGCTTAGTGGATTTTGCCATTTGTGATTTTGGTTTATACAAAGCTTAGGGTATCCCTTTGATTTTTATGCAATTTATTATTGGAATTTACCATTATTATATGCTTTGAGGTTTTTAATTTTATTTATTATATTATTATTTTTTTGATTTATTTGGGTATGGTGTGGAAGTTTTAGGTCATTTAATAAGCATGATTGTGAAAGTTTCAATTGTGGAGGTGGTATGTAACATATTAAATACTTCCTCTATTCTTTTTTACTTGACCTGTTTCTTTAATCACACTTGTCAATGTAAAACTTAAGCGATCGATAACTTTAATTCTTCATAAATAAAAATTATAAAAGTTGTATATTATGATAGTATTTATTGAGATGAATTAAAAAAGATATCATATGAATATATTTTTCCTTACATATCATTCACAAAAGACGGTCAAATGAGAGGTGGTGAATAGTGTAAAAGTCAAAGAGGGTCAAGTAAAAAAGAACGGAGGAAGTATGTAATAAATCTAAAGTAGCTTGAACAACATATTTATGCTTTTTCCTTTGAAAGTCTTTAATTAAAAGTATACTCCATATTCTTTAATAGAGTAGTAAGATGTTTAGATGTTTAAAATTTCTGTATAAAGAAAAAAGGGTGTTTTGAGTAAATCACGTTAAAAAAATTTCCATAAGAATATACGGTATTCAGTATTCATGACCAACAAAAAGTGCACTCCCTCTATGTGTTTTTAAAGTGTTATAATTTGACTAAACATGTATGTCAAGACATGATTTTGATCATTGCTTTATCCAGTTATATGTTAAAAAAAACACGTTACACAACAACATATGTGATTTATAAATTAGTAAAATAGTAAAGTCAAAATCACTATATTATTACTTTATTAGTGAAAATCATCAAAGTGTACCACTAAGAAAACAGTGGGAGTATTTCTTTAATCAACATACTGTGTTGATACTAATACTTCATTTTATATCATAAATAATTTTATATTTTAATAATTTTAACTGTCACTAAAGCTTCTTGAATCACTAATATTACATATGAAATTCTTATTGTTATATTTGGTTTTTATTAAATTGAAATTGTACTTGTTTTTTAAACAAAATCAAATTTGAATTATAAAGTATGTTTACATTAATACAGCTCCATTAAAATCATGCATAAATTAGCTTGTTATGCCACATAAGATTTATAAGCTAATTTTTTTTGTAGCTAATTTGTGCTCCAATTGTTAGCTAGTAGCTTGTGATTAAATTGGGCCTCAATTTGTTAATTTGCTTTTTACATATAATTTTATTAATGTATCAACCTATCTTTTTGGCAAGTTTATTTTTCAAGCAAATTTGCTAATTTGCTTGACCAAGCTAATTTAATTTTTTTTTTAGCTCCAATGGTTAAGTTGATACTTAGAGAATTTTCTAAATTGCAAGCAAATCCCTAGCTATAACCATTGGAGTTGCTCTAAAGTCTAAACATCTAAATTATTTGAGAGCTATTTAGAAGAAATGCCGTTAATTACAGATGTTTAATACTTATATTGAGAACTTAGATCTCGCAAACAATGACTGTAAGTAACGAAGGGCTTTTATTATTTAATAAAATAACCCCTAAATGTTCCATTAAAAAAAAAGAAGTGCTTTTACAGTTTTTTTTTAACCCATAACACATCATAAATTTAAAAGGGTTAAAGTAAGTTCTTAAATTGTCATCTGAACAACATTTGATACAGTAGAATTACCATTTACTTAGTACGAGTAATAATTCTAATAAAGAAGACTACTCTTCTTTTCTCCTCCTTTTCTTTCTTCTTTCTATATTTTTTTGTACCAGTACAAAAAAATATTCAAATAATTTATATGGTGACAAGTTGGGGAAAATTAGCTTTGTATAGGAAGCCTACCGGAGTACTTGACTACCTAGCAACTTGGAATGACATTGACATCAAATCGCTTGATCAACATGAACCTCGAGGTGTGTTTTACAACCAAGGAAGTTGTTTTTCACAAGCATCTAGTTCTTTTGCTTTAGCAAAGCAAGAGTAAGATATAAATTCGATAATGAGAGCCTTAACTGCCATAAAAAACAAAAAAAAAATCTATAGTTTCGTGCAGATACTTGCGTAACTTACAAAAAACTTGTGAAAACACAAGAGTTTCCTTAATATGAGTAACAAAAGAAAATAACAATACAAGAAGAGATGCATAAATTTTTTACTAAAGATTTAAACAAAAATTATGTATCCATAAGTTTGTAGTCAATCAATCGATACATGTGTGTGTTCAAGAAATAGAAAGCATACATCGTGCATGTATGATAAACCCAATAAGTGACTGCAGCTACTAGTGAAAACATAAATAGAAGTAGATAGAACAACTAAAGCTCATAAAATTGAGAGAAATACCTGCTTCCGAATTCAATGTATCAAGAACATACAACACTGAGATACAAATGTAACAAATTGATATAATGTATGCTGTTTTTTGTCCAACTAAGAAAATCATCGTTCAGTAATTGAACAGATTCTTCTTACCTTTTGCTTCAAAATGCTGCTAAATGGCAGCAAATATCTACATCTAAGTTCTCTTTTTAATTGAAGAACAAGAAGCAACCATAAACCAGTAACTAATTGAAACATTAGGGTGGCTGAAACGGAATGAAATAAATGCAGAATCGACAGATCAAAGAGGTGACATTCATCTGAGGCCGTGAAATGATGGCAAAACAGCAATAAGGGGGTCACCATAGCCTACAGCTTCTGCAAGAAACAATTGCAGAGTAAAAAAGTTAAAATTGTAAACTGAGAAAACTGAAAAAGAAGCATTTTTGTAAAGGGCCAGCCCTTATGATTTTATGGTTTATTTATGCTTTATAAAAGGTTTGAATAAGAAATCGTCTGTTCACATACCTCCTTCCTCAAAGAGCAGCTTCAGGACTTCACCAGCTACATCCGACTGCACATTCAATAATTAAATTATTATTGAGAATATACTTGCATTGTCAATGAGGAAAGTATAGGAAAAAGAGCAAGTTTTGTGCGAGACTGTCTCGCCCTGATCACTCATGAGACAATAAAATCCACCCTCCCCAAAAAGTAAGAAGTCGCCCTTCAGTTAGTTTTAATACCATACATGCTTTTTGCCAAGAAAGAATAGCTGACAGAAGCTAACCTTGACAGGAAGCTCAGTTCCAAATTGATCAATATAACCAATCACTTGTCCCTCTTTGATAATATCACCCTGCATTTCATTGGCAGCAATATGAGAAAGGTTTGTCCAATTAATAATAATTTAACCACATTCCACGCACACGAAAAACCCAAATCAAAATTGTAAACTCAACATGATACTGCCTCAGCTATAAAGCATTATTTAAGTTGGGTTAATTAGACATTTCTCTCATCTTGTGAATGTCAATAAGTGCAAGTATATGAAGCAATTCCGATTGTATCAGGCCTTCAGTTCAGAGATAAATAATCTACTAAGTCAGTTTCAGCAAAGATGTTCTCAAAAGATCAGCAGGATAATCATATATTAATTCATACAGCCAACTCCATATTCAACTGTTCAACTGTTACCTGTTTACAGTTATGAGGCTGCTTTTTGCCCTTTACTGTTCTTCCTCTCCGGAACGAGCCCACCTGAACAAGGGGTAAAAGATTTAGTGATGCGGTAGTCTCTTAGTTGTTCTATAGAGATGAAAATTTAAATACATACTGTTGGTGATGATACTAATTTAAACCCATTGGCTCCAGAAGAGGCTTCTAGAGAAGCCAACTTTGAGGATACTGCCGAGGAGGCACTTGCAAAGAGACCGGTCTTTTCAAGAGAGGGTTTTGCAGCTGATGCTGAAGGTGGGGCAGGAGCTGATTGAACCATGGGTTCACTTGGGATAGGTGGTGCAATTGGAACCGGAGCATGCATTGCTCCAACATTTCTCTTAAGATGCATCTCAAAATCTCCAACCTGCAACACATTACAAGCTACAAACTTACATAACTGTTAATTAAATATTACTCCCCACCAACAACCCCCAATAAAGGTCAAGCCCATATGTCAAACAGAACACTAAGTTCTCGTGAAGATCACAGTCCCACATCTATGGTGCAATACTCAACAGTTTTTTTTTTTTTTTTTATAAGAATAAAAGTAGATCAAAAATGAAACATAAGCATAACTAGCCATCAGTAGAAAGTCTAGAAACCACATAAAACAGGCTCAGCTCAATGACATGTAAGTCTGCACCAGTGTTAGAAAACCCAAGCATTCAAGGTGATCAAACAAACAATGATTTGAGGCGATTCATATATGTTGTACTATACATATTTGTTTCCAGAAATATTCTATTTCTTCTGACATGGCTATACTAGAACAGTCACAATTTCATGAGTATATGTCTATAGGACTTAAAGGCAATCATGTAAAGATAAGTAGTCTCAAAGTCCGGAATCCCAACTACTACCAGTAAAAAAATTCATCTCATAAACATTAACCTAATCAACAAAACAGTACTCCCTCCGTCCCTAAATTAGAAGCCTATTTTTCTTTATTAGTGAGTAATTCATATTAGAAATAGGCTTCTAATAAAGGGACGGAGGGAGTAATGTTTTTGATACAAAACCCCTAAACTTGCAACTTCAATTCTGGAGAACTTAGCATGAAATATTAACTCAAGACAACTTTGTTTGAATTCCTTAATTATAACTTCACTTAAGTATTAATAATCAGATGGAGATCTCAAAACTCGATCTCTTATAAACATCAACCTGAGAGAGTTTAACATGTAAAAGCAAACCCTCTATTACATTTGGATTAAAAAGCATTACCTTTAGCTGTACCTCAGCAACACTTGTTTCATCACAAACCTCCAAGAGCAATGCCTGAAGAAAGTTTCATCCATTAAAATAAACATGTGAAAAATAAGCTTCCATGATTTTCCCCCTAAAGCATCTATATGTACTAAGCATCAATAACACATGAATTAAAATATTAATTTAAACATAATGAATACTCTATTATGTTTTTTTACTTAGAAGTTGTACAGTGGCCTACCAAATCATGATCGATGGCATTTTAACACTTTTATCATTATTTGTGCTCTGGAAAAAGTTGAGTAAATAAATGTGCAAGCCAAACCAGCTCTCTTTTCTACCTTTAATGAGTTGGAATGAAATGCGCCAAGCATGGCTTTTGCCTTCTTTGTTTTTCCAATTCTCAATACTAGCTAGAGGTATTAAAATGGTGCTAATAGAAATTTAAGAGAAGGCTGCACACATATTATATGGGAATGATGAGTGTGCCAACTATAACATAATGCTTTGAATATTTTTATTTTGTAAGCGTCTCTTGCATGAAAGCCAAGAGTTTAACTATCTGCAGCCAATGTATAATTTATTGGAAATAAAATTCTCTTTGCACATAATGCACAAGTTATGTTAACATGCATCATAAAAAAGCATGTTGTAAAGAGGCCAACATACCTCAAATGCATTGGGGAAAGTGGTGCGCACAGCATGCTTCTCTATTGAGCCTTTTGATCTGTTGTTTACTGGAGCTGTCCCAATAAGGTCATTAAACTATAGTCAACGCTATGACTAAAGAGCAACATATATAAGAACTGTTATCAAGAAAGCTACAACAAAACAAACAAAAGAGTATTGCAAAGCTTTTGCTCCTTTCTGTCCAATCAGATTATCCACCTTGAAATTTCTGACTCGCAATATTGCACGGCATGCAAAAGTTTCAAGGTGGATATTTTAAGTAAATTAGATAACAGGGACATTCAATTATTAGTAATAGAACATGTTCATTATACTTATTCAAAAAGATATCCCATGGCTATAGTTAAATCAGGAAGGGCATACTTAAGGGAAAGGAGGGAATGAATGTTAGAATTTAGAAGATAACATAAGCTAACAATAAAGAACACACCATCAGAATTGGATGACACGGTTGTTTCAGGTGTCTTTGCACATGACACTACAAGTCTTGCTTGCCTTGAGGAGGAGGTGAGCTTTCCAACAGCGAGAGTTTGGCAGTGAGATCGAACCACAGTTGGCCAGGCAGGCTTCTCAAGCGAAGAAGAAGCATGTGAAATGCTGCCAGCAGAAACTATGATGCAGAAATACCAAGTTCCATACAGAAAAGCAGTGTTGTCTCAGTGTCATACCATCATTATGCTATTATAGGCCAATTAAAGACAAAATGACACATCAAGGGCTAAATATACACAATCACATCATATTTTCATTGCTCCTAAATACAGACAGAGATCGCAAAACAGTAGAGGTTCTAAATATTATAAATCTGGGACAAGAAACAACAATTAAGCACAGAAAGAAGGCAAAATATACGTTACATAATTTACAGAACAAAGCCTCATTTTCATGCAATTCAACTGAATAGGCCTAAATCCAAATATTATAAAACAAATTTCGAGCATAGAAGACGGTTCATTTTCACTAATTTTTAGAGAAGAATAATTGACAGTCTTAGTAATCAAAGCTATACATGTTCATTGGGAAAGAAGTAGTAGTGGTTGTCTTAAGATTATCACCACATCCTAAAGGCCAAAAGAGTATTTAGAACTTGCTCAAATCCTCTCTTACTTTCAATAAAAAGCACCCAGACAGGTCAAATCAGAATTTTTCCAAAGTAGTTAGGTGCAAATTATGTTCATTTTGAGCATAAAATATGGGTCATGTGATCATGTTATGTCCTCTTCCATATAAATCTCATCTTAATTACCCCATCATAAAATAACTAGTATGTATGATAGAACTCTGAAGAGTATGTAGCATGAATCCACAAATCCCTCCCTAACAATAAAACTCCAATCAAAATCACTACTGAATCAAAATGATGTTTGGATTATTTATCCCCTGGATAGCTGAGAATACCCATGGCTTTCACACTATTAGTAAATTGTAATGATCAGGGTGGGGTAGCTGAGACAGTATCCACAATGAAGACCTCCAAAGTAGGCACCAATCCAAAGAATGTAGAGATGGGATAGTGGTGAGATTAAAAGAAGTCGAGGTAGACCGAGGATAACTTAAAATGAAGTGGTAAAACAAGACAAGACACAATTGAGGGCATCAGTTATAGCTAAACACAAGATAGTATTCATATGAGGGATCATGTGCGTTCATGTAGCCGACCCCATCCTTTTTGAATTAACTCTCCCTTATTCCCTTATTGTTGTCAAAATCATTAAAATCCTCAACTTCTGGGTAAATGTTCATAGAGGTGCCAACCTACACTACAATCCAATAAAGTCCCTTTCGAATTTTATTTTTCTATCCATAATCACAAATGTAACAAGCACGAAACCGTACTTCGCAGAATTTGATCTGTTTAATGCAACATTACTTAATTACATAATCAATAACTTCAATCAGTCTATAGAACATTAGAACTATCACTAATTCGACACAAGCATCTCAATTGCCACTAATATAAAGGGGGGAAATTAGTCATTCAAAATTTCCCAAATTGTATCAATCAGAGATATGACCAACCAATATAAAATCACAGGTTTGAGTTAATAAATCATACAGCAAAAGATAATTTGTGATAAAAACTAAACACCCCATCAACACAATTACAATTCCAATCTAGAAAAGGGGTTAAATTGATCAAAGATTAATAAACAAGGTGAACAAAATTACACCAAAAAAAGCATAAATCAAACAAGAAAATGCAGGTAAAAATGAAGAACAGTAACATACAGAAACAAAAGTGAAGAGAAAGAGAGAGAGGATAGAGAAAGGCTTACGACGGAAGGCAGCAGTCTCCATGAAAATGAAGTGAAGAATCAAACGAGAAAATGCAGGGAAAAATGGAGGAGATCTGTGGGATGAGAGAGAAAGAAGGTGAGGTAGTAAGAAGAAAGTCTTAAGAAGTTGGAGGAGAAGGTGAGGAAGTAGTAGTATTGCCCAAAATTGCTTCGAAATGTCCGCCCCTCTTTCTTTGTGTCTTAACTGTGAAAGTTCACTCTTCACGGCCGTGCGCAGATTCTCAATTTTAGATGTCAAAACTATTCTCGGGTTAGGGCCTTAGCGAGTAAGACTCTTTAAGAGTGGGGAAAAGGATAAAAGAATTTTCACCCCTTAACGATTCATAGGGAGAATTACATAAGCTCAAGCTTGTGCATTCAATCTTTATCATTAGACCATGTATTCCTTGGTTATTTTTTAAAGTTTTCATCCTCACTCTCTTAGTACTAGTCCCTCACTAATTGTCATTTTAGTATACTTTTATTCAGGCTAATGAGGTATAGTTCCACCAAAAATATAATACTGAAAACCATTATTGATCTCATGTACATTTTGGGTTGTTCACAAAGCTTATCAAAAACTATGCAAAATGTAAGATGCTTGCATAATTTGACTAGCTTATCAAAATAGGTCATGTTAAGGTTAGCTTTGTATTGTGTCGTGTCGACTTCATGTTTGTTTTCGTGTTTGTGTAGTGTTAGTTTCAGTCAAATTATTGGTCGTGTAATAGACGACTAGCTCTAATTACATGGCTTTACTAATCATTTTGGGTGTAGAGAGCCAAAGGTTAGATATTGATAATACTCCTCATTAATCATACACCTATTCTGCTAATCAAACCTTTCTCAAACTCCAATTTGTGTGTTTAAATAAATACATTACTTTATACTTGTATTTGTTAAGACCTTTTGAAAACAATAGTATGGAGTAATTATTTTCAAAGTCATAAGCTAACAAAGTGTTGACTCACTTGGTAAGATTTTTACCTTAGTTCTTAAAGGTTTGGACCAGGTTTGAATTTTACCAATTGGGGGTATAGATTCTCTTACTCTCCTCTCTACTCCCAAGGGTCTGGTCTATAAAAACTGAACCCAAAAATTTGTAAGGAAGGTCTAGTCAAAATCTTCTTTACCATTAAAAAAAAAAACTTGAACAAGTAAGCCCTAACCAACCAAGTTTTCCCTTAATAAGTTATCTCTGTTACATATTATTTGCAACGATTATACATCTTTCCTCTCAATCTAGGTAATGTATAATTGTTGCAAATAATATGTAATTGAGGTAATAATAACTTTCACAAACGCACGGATACAATCTAGGTTCATAAAAAATGTGATAACCGGGCAATTATTTAAGGACATAGAGCAATTACCAAAAACACAAGCAAGCAAGCAGCTAATGGAAAGCTCAAGTGGCCGAGTCGGTGGCGTTTCTACAACCGGCGACGACCTGGTATTCGCTATTAAATCTTATGTTCTATAAATGTATAAATATGTAATTGCATTGTTTTTTTCTTGTTCAATTTGATAGTAGTTAAATTCCTAGGGTTTAGATAATCGAAAATTTCATCATTTTTTGTATGATCATAGCTAGAACATTTTTTTTCCTCAATTGGGTTAATTTTGAACGTTTTTTACATGATAAATTCACTTTTTTTTCCCTCTATTCTTTGATTTTTGTGGGGAATTCTCTTGTTTTTGGGTAAATTACTGATTTCTTTAGTGCTCTCACCTCTAGCTTTCAATCTAATTGCATATTCTACATTTTAATATTAATTGGATTTATCTTACTGCATTGTGTATTTAAATTGCTTTACATTGTCGTTGTTTTACATGTTAATTACAAATTACAATTGCTTAATCAAATTTTGTGAAGTACTGTATTTTTTGTTGATTTGTTAGTTCTTGTTATCATAAAAAAGTAAGTCCATTGAAAGTTGAAAACTTTAAAAACAATGAAAAGATGATTGATTATGACCTTACATCTTTTATCGTTAATTGATGAACTTGTTAATAAACTACCTTTAGTTATAATGTCTATTTCCATAGAAGTGATATTGTATAAAGACTTATTGTGAATTATAGACTCGTGTCGTCTATTTTTGTTTCACCACTGGTTGTAGTTGCACTAACTAGATTAGTCGAAAATTGCAGTTAATCAATTTGCTGCCCTCAAACCGCTTCACAAGCCACACGAGTTTGTAGGCTAAATTGATAATACTGGTAAAAATTGAAATAGAAATATATTACATTACAATGCAACATGACATTAGAGATAAGCGAAACTTCAGTTTATCTACATTCTACATGGTTACCCCTCTAGGCCTCTAATCTAGCTACATTAGAGTGAGCTGCAGAGTCTCTCTGAACTCGGCCCTCCTTGTTTCATTGTAGAATGTCCTGTATTTATTTGGCCAGTATGTTAATCCAATACAACCCGCTAGCTCCCATTCCATTGTTTTCTTTCCAATAGCTGATCTGTCCACCTTCCAGCATACCGTCTCTGCATACTGATCTCCTGCAAATATGACCCCTCCCTGTCTGGTAAAAGGCCTGTATGCACTAGAATACCGGTGTTTAAACCACGCCTTAGGCTGAAACAATTTCATTGGAGAAGGCTTAGACGAAAAGACCTCTCTTCCGTTTCCACTGTCATGCAGAAACCAGTTCAAACCACCACTGTCACCTTTTGCAGTCTCTTCAAATTTCCATGGTTTGAAGACTGTTGTTGTGGTCTCTCCTGCTGATACCTGTACTCCCACTTTGTTTAGAGGCTCAAATGATCCTTCTATTGTCTTCTCTATTTCAATCTCCTTCTTGGGATTCTCCGAAGATTTGCTCACCGAGACGCTTAAGATGTCTGCCTGAGATGCTGGAGTGACCTGGAGTGAGATTCTTGAAGGGAAGTGCTTTTCTGCTGCCCCTGCTCCTCGATCATTTAGAATTTTCTCACTTACAAGTCGGATGACATCTAGTCTGTAAGAGAAGATGTAATATAAAACATAATTCAAACTTTGTACTTACAAGATTGAGCAAAATACTTTAATAAAGCCAAGAAGAAAATGGTACAGAGTACATTTCAAAATTTTCAGAATATTGAAGATTAATTCTAATAAGTAAGAACTATTGTAAGAATTGCAGTATGTGTACTAGAATGATTTTCCTTGGCATTTTTTGTTTTGTAGCTTTATAGTTGAGATTGAAATGTAGTTTATTTTATTTTTGTAAGAATTGACATTTATATAAGTGCCCTAATCAAAATAAAAGTATATTGGTTGTGTGTAAATAGTGAAAACTCCGTACCTTATGTTGTCGATGTTTACCATTACTTCGATCCATTTCTCCCTCAGTATGGTTTTATAGTTGAGCTGTATGACACCCTCCAGATGGTGGTAGTTTAGAGAAAAAGCTAAACGCTCGTCAGCTGAACCGTTTGTGTTCTCGACTTCCATGGTAATTAGAGGACAATACAGCTGAACTTTCCATAACCCAGAAGTTGAAAAACCATGAGAATACAGAGGAGAAGGTCCTTTGAGGATGCGGTTGGCTGCTCTTAGCTCCATTTTCCAGTTTGTGATAGCTAGATTTAGGCATCTCATCCATTGCTCCTCGGTTTTAGACCCTAAGAGCCTTATGAGTTGCTTTGAGGCTTCACGAGATTGTGAAGTCGAAAGCATATCTTTTAGAGATTTAAGGCAATTGTAACGAAGATCATTAGGAGCTTCATAAATGCAAACTAAGAAAACTAAGGTAAGAAAGGAAACATTGAAGATGTCTTTCAAGTTAGGCGGAGGATTTAATTTGGGGAATATGAAGGGATGAGTTTGTTTGGTAGGTCCATATTTGAGAACGTCTTGGATGAAATTTGAAATGAGATTGTATATCGTGTTATCATCACTCAGGAGGTTTGAGGAAGTAGAGATGTATACTGGTTTTGAGATCCAAAGGGTTACAGGGAGGTTAAAGTTTGCGATTATGGCAAAGGAAAGTGATTGGGTTGAAGTGTTTTTGGTTATGTTGAGACTAAGGGTTGCCAATGATGTGTTTGATGTGCATATGCATGTTGACATCGAATCCTTCATCCATTGAGTTGGTGGTGGAAGATTTTGGATCCATGCCCATATATCGGCATTTCCACATGTAACAATAGCCATGTTTACTCTCTGCGATTCAAGGATGAGCTTTGAATATATTTATAGACTCAGAATTGATTGGGAAGAAGAAACTTTTTTTGCAGCTAGATTCCAGCAAGGTGAAAAAGTCAAAAGGAAGCAATAATAATGCTAGAAAGTCTAAAGAACATAGAACCTTAAGAAGGTTGATTAATTATATATGAGGCCTATGATTGGTGAATCGCACAAGAAATCGATTCTTTGGGGATGTCTTGTACAAGAATGAGATGCCTTGTAGCATTTTGGATATGAATAAGCTTTATTTGGTAAAGTTCTGTTAGCTTAAGTTACTGCAAGCTGAAGCAATATGCCTAAGTTAACACCTCCTCTGAGTTCCTTATGAGGTTGTACTGCTGACATCTCATAATCTGATGAGTCAGATATTAACCGCCTTTAAGTCGTGGAGTTTTAATTAAGGCGATTAGATCGATATGATTAAAAATCTAGTCGGACTTATCTGAATGTCTGTTTACAATCACATTTACAGTTTACTAATAGAGGAAAGGTATAATATGAGGAAAGTTGAAATTGTATATACATTGCTAAACTTAGTAATGTATGATATCAGCTGGAGTATTACATGCTTATGTCATGGCATCTTTGATATTTCTGCTTGCTTCTTGTGTATAGGAGTGAAAGTTTTGTGGAAAATAACTGATGTTTAGGTAACAGTTTCATTCTTACTTTGTTTTTCCTCTGAAGCATACCTATTTTTACCCTTCATTATTGAATTTGAGGCAGAAAATTAACTGCTTGATTTTGCAGGTATAAGTGTTACACAAGTTAGTTCAAGTTAGCTAATGATAAATGATTACCGTTCATATTGGTACCATGTATGTAGAAGATGAACACAAGTACATGTACATCAGGATGTATTCAAATTAGGCAAAATATTGCCAATATTTTTTTATTTTATATATATATATAGGGGAAGGCTCTCGTGAGAATTTTTCTTATGTGAGAACACTCTTTATGTTCTAAATTTTTACTCGTATGTTCTAAATTTTAAATCTGATGTTCTAAACTTATTTTTAGGTGTTCTAAATTAAATCAAATGTTCTAATTTATTACTCACATGTTCTAAACCATAAATTAGTTAAGCTTGATTGCATAAATTTTAAATAACTTGTTCCAAACTTTTAACTTTTATGTTCTAAATTTTAAAACGTGTGTTCTAAGATTTTTAATTATATGTTCCAGATTTTCTAAGATTTTTTAATTATATGTTTCAGATTTTAAAGCGTATGTTCTATTTTTTTTTACTCGTATGTTCTAAATTCTTTACTCACACTTTCTATATTCAATATCAGTTTGTTCTAAATTTTTATTCACATGTTCATAATCTTAAATCAAGTGTTCTAAATGTTACTCATATGTTTAAAATTTCATAAAGTAAATTTTATAAATTTTTAATCACTTGTTCTAATTCTTAAATCAGATGTTCTAACATATTACTCACACAAATGTTCTAAATTATTACTCATATGTTCAAAATTTTAATTTGAGTCACATGTTCTAAAATTTAACTCGTATGTTCTAAATTTTTACCCACATATTCTAAATTTTAAATTAGTTCTCATATAAGTATGAATTCTCACATATGGACCTATTCTCACCGGATCTCTCTCCTATATATATATATATATTCTCATATGATTAGATAAACAATTATTTGTTGTGAGACCATAGTGACCTTTTGGAGCAATTTTACATACCCGTAGTATTTGCGTTTTACTTGGTATTAATTACATGAAATGGCCTTATTCAAAACTTTCTTATACAGATGTCTGAGATAATCTCATGTTTGGATATTACATCTATTCGCCATGAAAGCTTTTATTTCTAATATTCTGATCGACTAAATTAATTGGTTAAAATCTTAAATTTAGTTCTCAAGATATCAAATTAAATATCATCTACATCACGTCTCTTACAACCTTTTTACTCCATGCCGCCTCATATGGTACCGTATGTGTAACCTAGCTACGTCCACCAAGAGAAAATCATATACGTACATGTTAATACCATTATAATATTGGTGGATCTGTTCAGAATTAGAGGCTGATATCTTCTCATCTTCTTCACGCCAAGGAATGTTTGTTACTATGTTGGTAGACGAAATAAATAATCAATCAAACAATTTGGAATTCGAGTCAAAAGATAAATGTACGCTAAATAAAATTATAAGGGTTAGGCAAAAATTCTAGTATATCCTTAATGGGTATGCAGTATGCTTGATGTAAGCTCAAAATCAATCATATGATAGGAGACAAGATTATAATTACGTTAACAACATTTGAAGATGATAATGCATTCATATATAATCGTTGAATTACATTATTATGGACTATAATTTAAAAATCACACTAATTAATTACTAATGTTGTGTCATTTTATCGCCTTCTAATGAATCAACTTCTCTTTTTATCTGAATAGTAGATTAAGATGTCTATTGTTCAGATATACCACAGATGTAATAGAATCACACTCATTTTTGGTAGAGTTTATAAACTAGTTTAACTTGCTAAATCTTGAAATGGTATGAAAGACTTAAAATCTCGTCTACATCTCCACACACAAGACGCAGGCGAGCACGTTTTGGCGGTTTTGCTATTACATATGCTAAAATATCTTTGGATTAGATAGAATATATCCCTTTTTATTTTTATAGGTTTTAAGCTCAGGCATATGCTTCTTAGAATCAAAGTGGCATAATCTTTTTCATATATTTATGACTTTTTTGGTCATAAATTTCCGCCAAAAAAGTACTTAGTTTTAGGTAGTGACTTTTAGAACTTTGAAGCTAAAAGGGTGAGCACACCCCACAAGCCATAATTAATGAATCAAATGCCAACCTAACCCAAGCCATGTTTATAGTAATCCCACATTAATAGCACTTATCAATATCAAATTGAAAATAGTCTGAAATAAGGAATACACAATTAGTCCTAGAATGCAAAGAGGCTAAAAAAAGTTGGAAAACTGTACGAACAATAGTCTTAAAAGGAAATAGTTTTAACATGAAGCAGAAAAAAGAAAGACATCATGCACGAAAATCGTCCTGATTTGCAATCTTGCATTTGGGCAGTTACAGTATTACTCGTAGTAAGGTAGAGCACAATTTCCTACGCATTGGTCACGAAGAGGAATGCCAAATTCAATATCTTGAATGTGAAAACCATTTCTCGGTACACCTTAACTATATAATGAAACAATTGAGCATTGACGCAAAAAATCTTAATCGACAGCTACTCCATTTCCTTCCATGGTCAAGATAAACCACTTCTCATTGTAAAATATACGAATATCAGATTGATGAATGCATTTCTTGTACACTATATTCACACATCAGCAAAACCAGAGACAGATTTGGTAAATCTCAGTCATCCATGTCGAGAACCTTGAAAAAGAATGTGTTGGCCTGTTGCCCGGTCAAAAATACAGCAAACAACACAACATCTCTTAGCAAATAGAACAACCCTCTTGGAAAAACATAACCTTCTGTAAACTGTAGTGCTTATTCCTTTTTTGGGTGTGGAGGAAGTTGCTTCATCAGAACATCATCAAATTTGTTGACGTCTGAACAACAAAAGGTTCCATTAACAATCGAGTCAAGAAGTAAAAAATCACCCCTAAAGCAATTGAAATAGGCAAGGCTGGTAGCGCTCGACGACACACGGACAACAAAATGAGAGTACAAGCAAGCCCTGATATAATAGCAAGGTAACAAGCATATACTGTCATAAGATCATACATTGCAGCTCTGCCCACGAGAACACTGTAAAACACAAAATCTCCCAGTCCAAGTTTGATACCAGCAGTCATGGCTTCCTCATTACCATCACCGCCATCTCTCCCCTCCCCAGCAACCATCTCCACAAGAGGTGACCTTTCTTCATCTACCACGCCAATCTCACTTGAATTCGCTACCACCAACGGTATTGTTTCCCCTTGATCACCACCCCTTTCATTCCCCATTCTCTCTCTTTCATCATCAACTGCAATCTCATCCTCATTGGAATAATTTCCAACAGTTGTTGACAGATTCTGAAGCTCCACTGATGAATTATCTGAAACCCCACCAACCAAAAGCCCCAAACCCCCATTTCTTCTTCCCCCGCCACTAGATGTAGAAACCGTAGGCCTTGCCTCATAAACTAAAGCTGGAAGATCATCATCTCTCGACTGAGACAGTTCCACTAGAATCTTCAACGGACCACCGGGAGCTAAAACTGCAACCAAATCATATACCGCCAAAGCAACCAGCAGCACCCAGGTAGTCCATTCAGGTAATTGGGTGAACCAAGCAGCAGTAATGATCCCCAAAATCACAGTGTAAGTTTGGGTAATGATAATTGGAACCCCTCGGCCGAATACTGAGACAACCCCAAGTACAGAGAAGTTAAAAAGAGAGAGAAAACACGTGGGGGCATCAAAGGGGAGAGAGAAATGGCTGATGAGAGAGAGAAAAATGGCACCCCCCATAGTGGTGAGGATGAGAAAAGCAGATAGGCGCATATAGTGTTTGAGAAAGTTGGTGAAGTTATAGTAGTAAAGGAGGACAAGGACGAAGGTGACTACTGCAATGAGTACAACAAAAACAGCAGCATTAAGAAGAGCACCTTCAAATTTTTGGGTAGTAGAATCGGATGGATTTTCTGAATAGACGAGGTTGGCTGCAGTGACAATGGGGGTTGGAGTAGGGGAAGATGGGAAAGAAGAGGATGGAGAAAGAATGGATACCAAAAGAACAACTAGGAGCATACAAATTGAAACAGGGGACATTACCCCTATTAGTTCTGTGCCAAGGGAATCAAGTATGCTCCCCTCCATTGCAGCTACTTTGTGCAGATGAGAAGAGAAGGGACTAGAAGGTCAGGGACACGCCATTGAGGGGATTTATGGGAGAAGAAATGATGAGTGAGCCCAAACAGAATGATTCATCCGCACAGATTTATGAGCTGTATTTATTGAGGTGTTCCATGAACTTTCATTTGTCCCTTTAGGCCTTTACCCTAGTTGTTTCAACATGGACAGACAACAGTGTTGATAGATTTACCATGGAGTCCTACTAAGCTCTGCACAGAATAGCAACCCAAAAAATTAGTTCAAGACACCATAGCAGCCAACATTCTGAACGAATTACATCTAATCCTATCAAATCCAAAAGCTTCACTAAATAAACTATACAATAATTCAATTGCAGATAACTAAATTAATTATAAAATAAGTATACTCGAGCAATCATCACCGATAATGATAATAACCTGCATAAGTTCCAAAATGAAAACTAATAACCCTTTATAAGCAGCACAAACAACAAAGCCAACTGCATCATTATCAAAGAACTAGCAACTTATTTAAGCAAAGGCAATACAGTTAGCTTGGAAAATCACTAATCACTAACAAACACCCTATGATCCCACAGATTAGTATAGCTATTCCAACTTTCCAAGTACTTGAAGGGAAACAAAATTCACAAGATAGAGCCACAAATTCACACAGAAGATGAAGAATAGAACCAGTAATGAGATGTTATATTCTCTCAGGCCATCTTTCATTGTCTCCTGCAAAGGTTCAAATATCAAAGAGGTTCTAGAACAAGAAATCTAATATCTCCACCTATTATTAAATTACTTGATGAATGAACTAGAGTAAATCGCGCTTCTATACATGCTAAATTAGAGATGGTAATACATCTCTTGTGATCAGTAAAGAGGGTGGTAAATCCTCAAATTGACCTAATTCTGTAGTCACTGGCCAAATTTCTCCTTACCATGTTCTGCACAGATGCATGTTAGAACTTCAGAATGCAAGAGAAACTGCAGTCGATGATGAATCATTATGTCAGAGACTCAGAGTGATACCTCTGATGAAGGTAGACGCACGCTAGAACTTCAGAGTGCAAGAGTGAGTGCAGAAGATGATGAATAACTAATCACTGCTCATCAGTCATTTCCCGAATGAAGCCAACCTAAAAGTTTTAGTAATCTTTCTTTAATATCATTATTTTGACTGTGGGCAACCTACAATAAACAAGCTAGATCTACGAAATATAACTGAAACTAAATTATACAGACAAGGTTCATTGAGCAATCCTTAAACTAAACTGTTTGCACGCTAAACTACCTCGACACTAACATGGTAGTTTGGTATAATGATGCAGTTGAACCGCTATACATTGAGAGTTGCATCAATGAGTATGTGAATCATCTAGAAACCCTAATTATAGTAACACATAACCAAGAAGCTAGATCTAGAAATCAGGAAAGAACAGTAAAATTTACTCTCTTTTTCAAATTTCAATCTTAAAAAAACCCTCAAAAGCTTACAATTATCACTAAGTACATTGTTATTAGACCACTGAAGCCAATCTAGCATAGGTTTAAAATTTTATTTACATTCCCAAACTTACATTTTACTCGAAAGAAAGAAACTTACATACTTGGAATTAGAAATATCAACCTACACCAATGAAATGCATAAGAGCATGGATTTTCAAGCATTTGCAGCTGTACAACAAAAATCTAATTGGGAAACTTAGCCCAATTCTCTAACTTTCAACAATCATTTAAGCTAACTAATTGGACAACCCTTTAACACATCAAATCAAATGCTCTAAATATGGTAAAAACCATTTTTCTTCTAAATCATTTAACCTAATTGTTAAATAACCCAGAAAAAAAGGGTCATAAATTTCCTTAGTCACTAGACTAATTAAAATTATTTAGTTTCAAATTCATTAAATACACTAAATGCCAATAATCATTCATAAAAATGTAAGTTAACCCAAAACCCATTACAGAAAAATCAATTTGAATAAAATTATTCGTAGTTCATTGATTAATAATTAGTGATTAAAAGTCTTACCTAGAATGACTATCGAGCAAAAACCCACATCAACAGAGATAGATTAAGTAGAATTCCTCGCCAATTTGAAGCTAAATTTCAAGAAAATGGATCAAATTTAGAGAGAAAAGGGAGAATAGAAATGAAACGTTTTGATCTAGAGATTGTAGTCAGTCTTACCACATGAGGTAGCAGTCGACTTTTGCGAGAAAATTCAAAGAAGAATGAGAGAGATGGAATGAGAGAAAGGGGAGTAGGATACTCTTGAATGGAAGTTCTTGGCTAAACGACATCGTTTTGCTTGCTGCCTTTTAATTTATAAACACATAAAATAAAAATGTTTTTTTTTTTTTTTTTTTTTTCCCCGAGAGAGAGAAACAAGAGCCAATTTATTCAACCAAAGAGTCAAACATAACATAATCCGACACACACGTCGGAACTTCCTCAATCTACACCCTCATCACATCATAGTTCCTGCTAACACAAGCAAGTCTATGGGCAACGCCGTTGCCATTCCTACCAATATGAGAAAAACTAATAGAAAGACACCTAGCAGACAAAGCAAGAATATCACAAATGATACGGCCAAAATCGGAATTTTCAGTCTTCCTACACTTCAAGTGCTGAATAAGCTTCAAACAACGTGACTCAATAATTAACTTGGTGATACCCGAGTCAATAGCAATGGATAAAGAGTGTCTTGCAGCCATAGCTTCAGCAGTATCACCATCTTACCCTGAACCTTCGAACACGAATTATAAATTATTGTTCACCAAAGTTATTTTGATTTAGGGAGAGAAACCATAACAAGTTAGCTACTTAATTATTACTTACTGAGTACTAGAGATAATGAGTTATCGTATTTCCCGCCCTCTTATCAGATAACAAAATCACTAATTAAACAAGGACGGCTTGACTGCATGAACCGAATTAATGGGGATTTCCAAATTCCCAATAGTTTCATTGTTGACCACCTTTTCAATAGGCCTTGTACCACATTAATTGCACCACCTTTAAAGTTTAAACCAATACGAAGTATATTATTGCATGCAATACCAACTCGAAAACCAAAACGTAATACAGCTTTAGGCCTTTAGCCACACACAAGTATATGTCGAGATCATCATCGTTGATGGATAAAGAATAGTAAAGGGATGTTACAATAGTCTAAATCCCTCGATCATATTTTTAATCGATTAATCCACTTTAAAATCTCGAACAGTAGAATTACTCTTTAATCATATCATAATAATCCAATAACTACATACCACCTTCATCCAAACGGAATAAATTCATTCGAATCAAACAATTCATTCGAATCAAACAATTCGATTGTCACCTCTCTCTCTCCACCCTCGAAATTATTGAATTGATTTGTTGTATCACCATTAATCATGAACAATGTGTATGTGGCACCCCACCGACAATAACCATTGTTAAGCCAAAACACACCCTTCTCAAACCACACACCCAACACAATCACTTCCCAAATCTTCCCATCATCTCCTCAACCAACCCATCTTCTTCTTCCTCCATTCAACCGCCGGCAAACAATGTCGTCGCCGGCGACACTTCCGATGACAACCCAACAAGCCACCGCCGCCGACAACAACACCACCATCACAACCCCCGCTTTCCGCAGCTTCATCTCCCGCTTAACCACCTCTCTCCGCCAAACCTTCGCGCAACGCCGACCATGGTACGAACTCCTCGATCGCACCGCCTTCACTCGCCCCGAGAATCTCTCCGACGCTTTCTCTCGCATCCGTAAAAACGCCGCTTACTTTCGCGTCAATTACCTCTCTCTCCTCGCCGCTGTGCTTGCTTTCTCTCTCATCTCACACCCTTTCTCTCTCCTCGTCCTTCTCTCTCTCCTCGCCTCTTGGATCTTCCTCTACCTCTTCCGCCCCTCCGATCAACCCGTTGTTATCTTCGGTCGCACGTTTTCCGAGCGTGAGACGCTTGGGATTCTCGTTGTTTCTACTGTGGTTGTTATCTTCTTGACGAGTGTTGGGTCGTTGTTGATTTCTGCTGCTTTGATTGGGCTCGCCATTGTTTCTGTTCATGGAGCTTTTAGGGTTCCTGAAGATCTGTTTTTAGACGAACAAGAAGGTCCTAATGCTGGGTTATTGTCGTTCCTTGGTGGGGCTGCTTCCTCCGCCGCTGTTGCCGCCGCGAATCCCGCCGGAAGAGTCTGATTTTGAATTTTGAGGTATTGGTTTTGGTTTGATTTGATTTCATATGATCTGATATTAAAGGGGGAAATTGGGGGGATTCTTTGGTTAATAGGGTTTTGTAGCTAGCTGTTTTAATAGTTGATCTGGATCTAATACAAGAAATGTGTAGTAGATCTTTATATTTGCTTTTGATCAATTTGCTAGCAGTGCAGTGTAATTTCTTTTTACTCAATGTAGTTATAATTTGATGAATTTGTTATGAAATATTATTGCTTATCAAAGAAATTGTATGATGAGCTTGTTTACTGATGTTAATTACTGATTGTTATTATGATGCACTTATTCTAGTGAAGTTTCTTTTTAGTTTGATGGAATAAAATTGTTATCTTTAGTGGTGTAGCATATTGAATTCATTCCTTGATCTGTTGAAGAGATGATGATTATATGTGGATGGAGCTCTTAATTAGTTTACGATCGTTCTTATGTAGTTTTATCATTGAAGGATGAATACATGAAAAATTGTGCTCTTGTCAACCATGTTATGCAGTATGCACCTCATAGATCGCATTAACTTGGTAGATTACATGCTTCGGAGTATGCTTTTTGACTTGAAATTTATTTATGAACTCGTAGATATTGAGATGATAATCCTGTTGTTTTGATGGATCCTAATGGAACTGAATAGATAGATGCACAAAGCATGGTACATGGTAGTCTTTGCTGGGCTGCAAGAATTTGGCTGGGGGATGGGGTTGGGTGGTGTGGTGTAGTTGCTGGGGTTTAGTTTCCACTATTATTGCTAAATTTGAATAAAGATCGGTGACAAAAGTGTATGCATACGGTGCTAATGTAGTATTTACCGTGAAGTTGAGCTATAGTATTTGAATTAAAGGAATGCCAGATAATGGGAAATCATAGAGATTTTGTTGAAAATTTTTGAAAGATTAAAGACCTATCATGGACAACAGCTACCATATTCTTGAGTTCTTTTTTCAGATGCTCATTTATATATTTGTTAATTCCGTTGATATGTTATGGAGTATATTACCTTGAAAAATTCCATTGATAATGGAAAATCATGGAGGTTTTGTTGAAAATCTTGAAAGATAAAAACCTGTCATGGACAACAGCTGCACATTCTTGAAGTCTTTTGTCAGATGTTCATTTCTATATATGTCAATTCAGTAGATTAGGTTATGGAGTATTCTACCTTGCATTATCTGAGATGAAATTTTTGGTTGGGAGGGCCAGCGATGTAAGGAAAGAATTTAGGTACCATTAGCTGGTAGGGTTCACAAAATTGAACGTAAAGACGTAACTAAGTACAGGTGGTGGTGCTTTTTCCCTGTGAGAATTAGAGCCATAGAATTAGAAGTAAAGCATGAATAAACTGGTGAGGGAAGATGTTGCATTATAATTTAGGCAATTCAAGTATTGCTGCTGGCTTTCTCTATTGCTTCCTGTACTGTTCCTGTTAGCAGATAGGAGATTAGCAAGTGACTGGTGTTTCATTATGTTTAGTTTGGGGGGGGGGGGGGGGAATTTTAAATTGGGTGAATGTCTCGTGTAAAAATTGCAATTGCAAGAAGTTACCGACCAAAGGGTTGCAGAGGCTTTTGTTTTCTTATCATTTTGACTGTAGTACAGTTGGTTGAACCTGAATCAGTCATTGATGGATTAGTTGTTTTAGGGATAGTGTAATTACATGCCATGAAGGTGCAACCCATTATTATAGGAAACTTTGTGGGTGTAGGAGTTTGAAATACAGAACAGAGCTTCATGACTTAGATGCTTATAAGTTCAGAATGTTTTGTGTTAAAGGGACATTAGACCTGAAGTATGATGGATGTAATTTATGACGAATAAAAAAAAAGATTTAGCACAGGGTATCAGTCCTTAGAGATTTGTGAAATCTCCTGCATGAACTCCAAGCTCTAGCTTCTAGGAAGAGATACGGATTTATTGAAGGATTATAATGCAAAAACTTTGTCTTAATTGGCAGCAGGACATTCTTCATGATTTACATCTATAGGTTGATGTTGTCAGTAGGCATCAAACACACGGCCATGCTGCCCACCACGAAAAATCCTTCTTTGACTTGATAGGACTAGGATCACCATTGTACTTCCTTTTAGTTTGTTTTTCTAGATCAAAAAGGTCAAGTCCTCAACATCTGAATCCACAAAACGACTTTTGCCATCATATGAACAAACTGTTATAGCAACTGGCCATTTTCCTGGTCGCGACCAATTGATCAATGAGGACAGTTTTATATTGGTTGATTATGTTCCTAATAAGTGTCAATGAGCATAGAATTTCACTGTTGTGGAATCGTGAAACCGTTGTCAATTTGTCACCAGTCAGCACTTCAGCAGTATGTGCACCATGGATTTCAGGCTTTTCGGGGTCTTCAACCTACTTTTAAAATTGGGCCACAACTTCATGGGCAAGAAGAGTGGGCCAAAGATGATATTGTTCAAGTTGTGAAAAATATGGGCTGAATAAGTAAGGTCCAATTCTTTTTTTTTTTTTTTTTTTTTTTGATTTAGGAGTTAGGACGGCCTACATTTTGATCTTCTGTTTAGAACTTAAGATTATTGTTGTTTTGAAAGCTCTACCACTCTAGTCAATACTCAATAGTCATAGTGGCAAGGATGGAAAGTTGGAGACAAATAGCATCAAAGCTTTTATGATCGTCATAGTGTCATTTACTTTGATGTCCTAATAGGTTCTAAGGTAGGTATCTTAAGCTTCCTTTTCACAAAAAGATGATTACTTTGCTCATAGACTAGCTAAATTAAGTCTTATTCGTAATTTTAACGAGTGTGTGGACTGAATAACTTCGTCGGGTCGAATCCCTTGTAAACCATGATTTGTTGATGATGAATGTAACCTAACCAAAATGTAACATGCCCCAAATTTTTATTTTTATTTTTTCATTTCTTGAGCATAATCTCACATTCATGACATTCATAGGTGTTAACCTATCAAGTACGGACTAGTTTAATTTTGGGGCAAGGCCATCACTACACACAACTACTCCAAGGCTCCACGCCTCCACCTAACCAAACTAAACTTTAACTTTAAAAGTTTGTCACCCATACAAACTAGACACAACATTTGTTTCACAAAAAAAAAAAAAAAAAAAAAAAAAAAAAAAAAAAAAAAAAAAAAAAAACTAGACACAACATTGTACAAATTTTGTAACTCAAATCCTACAAAATCTAATAGTCTTGTCATATAGTAGCACTTTATTAGTTATTACTAAAATAACTAACAATATGGATTTGAGTGTTTGACATTCAATGTTAACATGCAAATGAACTGTCTGCTTGAATTGTTAGCTCAGATTTAAAATACTACACATTGTTTTAAGAAGTACATGTAGCAATTTGTAGTTTTTAAAGGTATCAACTCTTAAAGTTTTACATAGAATCTTTGCAAAATGAAAGAAGTATGTTAGTATGTGGTATAGTCAAGTCACCCTAAATTTCAGAGGAAAAAAAAAAGAAGAAAAAAAAAGAAAAGAAAGAAAGAAAGGAAAAAAAGATGCCTCAAAATATCATAAAAGACATCCTTTTCCTAAGGTCATACAAAAAGTTGCCTTCTATGGCTATATCTATAAATAGTTAGCCATTTTAGTAGTTAAAGGCCTTAAAGGGTAGAAGGAAACTTGAGTGCTAGAGATATGAATGCTCTCCAAAAAATTTGTACTACAATATTTGTAGTGAGGCAAGTCATGCAACTTCAACCACCCCATATCCATCAGTCTATTAATATGGTTGATAATGAGATAACGCTACCAAAATTAATATGTTTGTGTATATTTTAAAATCACCCTACAACATACCCCCAAAAAAATCACATTAAAGGAGAGTTTCACATATGAGTCATGTCAACAAAAAAAGATGAAAAACAAGTACTCCGTAATATACATCAAAAGAATAATTAAAAAGGAAAATATTAGATGAAAATGTTAAAATCAATGATTTATAGTGATTTAATAGTATTTTTTTTTTTAAACAAATGAAGCTAGAAGCTAGTTTTTTTATTTTTATTTTTTTAATAATTTTTGGTGAGAAAAATGAAGGTTAGCATTGAATTTGAGAGATACAAGAAGTAACATCTAATGAAAAATATGTGAACAAAGACAAGTATTCCATCAATCCTATGCAACACTCCAAAAATAATTCTTTCCATCAATTTTACACTTTCATAGAAATGGAATTAAAAACTTGGACCACTATTTCTACAATGTACAAACAATAAAACGACCCTCTAATCTCAGCTTTCTAGGTTATACAAGTATTTTGTCTACAAGTATACCTACGATTGTATTTTGTTTGAAAGCACCATTCTTTCACACACTTGAATTATGCATTTAAAGCTTCATGTCATAATCTTCCAAATCTCAACACCTAGAACTTCCAAACTCATTACTTTAATCATATTATTAAAGAACAAAAAAAAGTTGGTAACAATTTTATGTACAACAACTAACACATAATAGTAACAAAATTTTAAAAAGTAGTTAAAAATAACTTTATTTTATTAATAAAAACAGCAAAATGACACACAAAAAAACTGTTGGGATTCAACCTCGTATAATCCACCCAAAAGTTCACTTTTTTATGCACTTATTAATGAACCCATGCAATTACCAATGGCATTTTCTGTAATTTAGTCAAGGTTCAGAACATATAACTCACATAATAACAAGAAAAAGTTGCCGTTAGATTTTATTATAAAGATTCAAAAATTGACTCATTTCTCAAAATTTTAGTGGTAAATTTTATAGAGAGTAAGAAAGAGAGGAAAAAACTAGCCGTTAAGAGGCGCCTCTGAAGCATTTGCAACTCTGACAGTTTGTCCCGGGTTTTTTAACTTTTCACGTGAGTTTCTCTCTCATCACGTGCTGTTATGATACTCAAAAAATGTCAACCTTAACTACAAAACCCTCCTATTCTCTGTTTTATTCCCTGTTTCATCAACTCATTTTCAGCTCCTCACCAAAAACCCAATTTTTTTTTCTAATTTTTTTTTTTTTTTTAAAAAAAAACCCATTAATTTTTTTAGATTTTTGAAAACACCCAATTTCTCAAATGTTGATTGAAACTCAAAAAAAGAAGGGTAAATGGAAGATACAATCCAAAGAAAAAACCCCACTTGGTGGTTCTGGTTCCGGTTCCGGTTTCGGGTTTAAGTACAAGAAGGTGTTGATTTTGATGCAATTGTTGATGATTTTATGTCAACAAGGTTGTTCAAGTGAGAGTGGATATGATGGTGTGGTAATTACACAAGCTGATTATCAAGGTTTACAAGCATTTAAAAATGAGTTGATTGATCCAAAAGGGTATTTAAGGAGTTGGAATGATAGTGGAATTGGTGCTTGTTCAGGTGGTTGGGTTGGAATTAAATGTGCAAAAGGTCAAGTTATTGTAATTCAACTTCCTTGGAAAAATTTAGGTGGTAGAATTACACAAAAAATTGTCCAATTTCAAGCACTTAGAAAACTTAGTCTTCATGATAATCTTATCACTGGTTCAATCCCTTATTCTTTAGGCCTTCTTCCTAATCTTAGAGGTGTCCAACTCTTTAATAACCGCCTTTCGGGTTCGATTCCAGCTTCATTAGGCCAATGTCCTCTGCTTCAAACCCTTGATCTTAGCCATAATTTTCTTACAGGAAAAATCCCTCCTAGTCTTGCTAATTCTACTAAGCTTTATTGGGTCAATTTGAGCTATAATTCCTTGCAAGGTCCTATACCCGGCGAGTTAACTCGTTCGAGTAGCCTTAGTGTTCTTTCTCTTCAATATAATAATTTATCAGGACCATTGCCTTCTAGTTTGGGGAAACTTTCTAGTATTAGGACATTGGATTTGTCCCATAATTTTATCAAGAGTAGTTTTCCAAAGAGTATTTCAAGGTTATCTTCTTTGAATACATTGAATTTAGAGAGTAATTATCTTGTAGGAGATTTGCCTGAAGATATAGGTAACCTTCATAATTTGTCTATGCTTAATCTTAGGAGGAATCGAATCGAGGGTCGAATTCCTCAATCAATTGGCAATCTTTCTACCCTTAAACAGCTTGATTTGTCCTTCAATGATTTCAGTGGAGAAATCCCAAATTCACTTTCTAATTTGAAAAATCTTGGTTTCTTGAATGTGTCATATAATAGCCTTTCTGGTTTAGTTCCAACTGAACTTTCTGAAAAGTTTAATTCAAGCTCATTTATTGGGAATCTTAGATTATGTGGGTTTAGTCCTTCATCTCCATGCCCTTCAGAGGCACCATCACCTTCAATTGGCATCTCAGCAGAAGCGAAAAAAGGCCGAAAATTGAGCATTAAAGACATAATTCTGATAGCAGCAGGTATACTTTTAGTGATTATGCTCACACTTTGCTGCATACTACTCTTCTGCTTGATCAGGAAAAGGTCTGTGTCAAGTCAAGAGAAAGAAGGGGGTGTTGCTGCCGCGGGGAGGGCCTCACAAGCCGAGAAGGGGGGCCCGTCTGGTGGACCGGAGGTTGAGACAGGCGAAACCGGGGGTAAACTGGTTCATTTTGATGGTCCAATGGTGTTTACAGCAGATGATCTTCTGTGTGCTACTGCTGAGATTATGGGAAAGAGCACATATGGAACTGTTTATAAGGCTACATTGGAAGATGGAAGTCAAGTTGCTGTGAAAAGATTAAGAGAGAAGATTACAAAAGGGCAGAAAGAATTTGAAGCTGAAGTTAATATGATTGGCAAAATTAGACACCCAAATCTTTTGGCATTGAGGGCCTATTATTTAGGGCCTAAAGGAGAAAAGCTTCTTGTCTTTGATTACATTCCTAAGGGCAGTCTTGCAAACTTTTTACATGGTAAGAAATTTGTTGAATCTTACTGTTAAAACTTGTTTTACTTTCTGATATTGTTAATTTGTGATTGGAAAGTAATCTGATGTTTTCCATTGCAGTTCGAGAGCCAGACACACGAGTCGACTGGCCTACAAGAATGAGGATGATACAAGGAATGGCTAGAGGACTCTTCCATCTTCACAACAATGAGAATATAATTCATGGCAACCTGACATCAAGCAATGTTCTCATTGATGACAGCATCAGTGCCCAAATTTCAGACTATGGCCTGTCAAGGCTAATGACAGCATCAGCTGCAGCAAATGTGATTGCTACTGCAGAAGCATTAGGGTACCGAGCTCCAGAGCTGTCGAAGCTCAAGAAGGCCAACACGAAGACTGATGTGTATAGTCTAGGGGTGATCATCTTGGAGCTACTGACAGGGAAGTCACCCGGGGAAGCACTGAATGGTGTAGATTTGCCGCAGTGGGTGGCTTCCATTGTTAAAGAAGAGTGGACTAATGAGGTTTTTGACATGGAGTTGATGAAAGACGCGTCAACTATTGGAGATGAATTGCTCAACACCTTGAAGTTGGGCTTGCATTGTGTTGACCCTTCACCAGCTTCGAGGCCAGAGGTTCAGCAGGTTTTGCAGCAGTTAGAGGAGATCAGGCCAACTGATACTGCAACTACTTCGGGTGATGACGGTGGTGGTGATCCATCAGCAAGTGAATAAGGAAGATTTAGAGGGATTCTTCTAGGGATTTTTGGTATTTTAATTAGTAGTCTTGATCATCTTTTGCTAATTGAGCTTTGTATATAGAATTCTATTACTACTTATTAGTTGCTCCTAAATGATCATAAATTAGTAGGTTTGTTAAATTCTCTTGTTCCCGTCCATTAAGGAACAAGAGACCTATTTTATTCTAAGCAAAGTCCATTCTTTAATGACTTCCAATACTCTGGTCTCTGTTTGATTGTTTCTGAATTGTTGCTATGAAGCTCAAAGTGAAACTTTGCTGCTATAGTTCATAGAAAAATTCTTCCATCTTTAACTGCATCCGGATTTAGGAATAATAAGTGAGATTTTACTATCGAGCTTACTAAAAATTAATAATTTTAAGGCAAAATAAAATAAAAACGAGACATCTGAAAATATGCTGCTTTAGTTCAAAATAACGTTCACAACAGCTAAGCATAGTATACTAGAGTATATACAAGATTGAATACATTCTGAATGACTGAATTAAGTTGAAATGTAATGGTAAACACTAAACAGCCGAAGCCTCAGACAATGCAACAGATTAGGGAAATACTCGTAGGTAACGCAGACCTCTTCAATAATTAGCTATGTACAGAACGTGGATAAGGGTACTATAAAATGAACTTAACTGTTCTCAATTGTACAGAAAATTAGACTACAAAAACAACAGAACAAAAATTGTACAGTATATACATGAAATACATCAACTAACACCATTTCCGTATCCTTTTGTTTCATCGGCAACCTTTTCCCAAACACTAGCCATTTTTTCTGCAAATCCCGCCTGCAAAACAAGTATTATTTTGGTTGGTTAGATTTTGGCAAACATTAACCACAGGGAATACAAACAATTACATAATGCACTAACATATCTATGCATGATAGTAGAAATGGTGTTTAGCTTTGAAAGAGTCATAAAGTTTGCTAAAGCAATATGCTACTTAGTTTAAATTGAGCTCCCCCTCCTCCCTCACTTCACGTCACCCCACCAAAAGCATACACTATGGGATCAACGATTTAACGTTTTGGAGTTAGTTTAAATCACCAGGGTTTCAACTCAAGGACTTTGATAGCTATAATTGACTTCAGAATGTTTATCAATTCTTTTTTGAATTTCGATACGTGCAATTCCTTCGATACCCGAGGATGCTCTTGTATTTTTTTGTACATAATTTTTGATACAATCCCTTATTTTTTGATCTTCTTGTAGACCTTCTGAATAGTTTTTTGGTTGTGAAAACCAAAGGGAATAATGACTTTGTGCTGTACCAAGTCTGAAACCAAGTGGATTTATTTTTTGTCCCATATTACTTACTCCATCATACAAAGGCTATATTGTATAACCAATTTAAAGATGACATATTCAAAAAGGTATCGAGTATGTCATTGGTATTCTCTCTATCAATTACCACCCAGATGAATGTGAATTAAAGAGGCTGAAGAATGTACCTGATTAACAACAAAGCCTTTCAGCATGCTCAAAAAGTCTGCCTGCCTTTCTTTATCTAGTCTAGCAAGCTCACTCCTATTATTTTCCTGCAAAATATTGAAGATATTGCATACGAAGTATCAAAATCAGAAAAAGAATACAAAAGTCCCCATGAACAGAACACGAATTTTACCCCACAGCCACAATTTACTTGATAAAAGTGGAGGTCTCGCCTCTAACAAAAGACCACACGACGGAGTAAAACAGCTTATAATCCTAATTTATGATCATTAAAATTCAATCACAAAATGGCAAATTATGTAACAACAGCCTCATAATAATTAGGAAAACATTGACAGAGAAAGATGGGCCAAAGAATAATCCTTTGTGCAAGACCAAATAGGCAAATACTACTATTGAACAGAAAGGAATTCTGTGACAATAGATGGCAATCCACATTTACACAAAAGAAAAGATGAAAGAGGAAACTAGGGAAAACATTCCTACACTGGGTATATACTACTGATAGGACAAATACACATCAGCAATCAGCATCCAAACAGCTACAATAAAATGAATAATTATAGCATGTACTCCGCTGTTGACATGGTATCCAACCCTAGTTCATTAAGTCAGAATAAGAGAGACATCTAAAGCTAAGTACTTGACAATATACATATTACAATTATAAGAATAGCCTGATACTTAAAAGCCATAAAAGGCATAGATTCCTACCTTGATTCTTTCATATTCCTTGACTGCACAGCATCTGGCATCCTCAGTTGCTTTGATTGCTTCTTTCAATTCTTCAATTTTTCGCATTCTGGACTTGTCACCACCAAAAATTTTAGATGAAGCAACTTCTAGTTTTTCAACTCGTGACTCTAAAGAAGATAGTTCAGATACAAGAGTTTGGACAGTCAGCAAAGCATTAGACCGGTCAGTAAAGGCATTGTCTACAGATAGCATCATCCCTAGATAATCATGGAGCTTGTCCTGAAATAAACAATACAGCAATCATTAAACTGGTAACCACACAGAATATTCATTCAAGAGTGTGCATACATTCCTACTGACAACTTAATGCATCAATTAACCACAAGAAAATATAATCTGTCCAAAATAAACACTGGCTCTAAAATTTCATATAACATTCAAAATGAACACAGAGACTGATGTTTAATAATCCTATTTGGCAACCTTTACCTAAAGTCCTAAATGCATCGATTTACGGCCAATGTTATTCTGAACCAACCAGAACAAGCACGGTCTATATGTTTCTCATACAACATAAAAATGAACAAAGAAATTGGAGTCACTAGACCTATTTGGTGCCCTTCAGAGTATTAAGATGACAGGAGAGAACTGGAGCAAGAGATCAGAGCAGATCCAGCATCGTGACATTCTATGACATCAAACTAAACATTTCAAGGAGAAAGTTAACATTATTATACCTATTAGTCCATGTTAAATGGTAGCTGCTGGATCTACTTATACAATGTCCAATTTTTCAGACACGTGACATGCATATATGCATTGCATCCTCAAAAAACGCTATTTCTTACGTTTGACCTCTTATTTGTGAACTCATACAAGACCAACAAGAAAACCTACTGCACTAGTATTTAAACATCCATTTAAAATATCAGACTATGAATGAAGTGGTATATGGCATGTGTTCAGCCATACAATAGTCAGTAACTGTCTCTATGATAAACACTCAACATAATCATCAGCAATTCAGCATGTACAAGCTAAACTAACGATTTGTCTGATCACAGTCGATATATTTGGTAAGAAATTAGATGCCATTAATCAACAAATATTCTACCACAGAATAGTATAATAACATGCAAATCTTTACCAAATGCTTGACAGTCTGAGAATTCAGTTCACGATACAATCTACTCGCTTTAACTGCAGCTGTTGCCATATTCTTCATGTCAGCTGCCCGCGTTCTTTGGCATTCATAAAGTGCTTCCTCGAATTCAAACTTTGTCATCTTAACAAATACCAAACCCAACTCCCCCATTGTCTCACCAATATCTTGCTGTGCTTTCACTAGCATTTCCGCCTAAACAAATAGCACAACTACCACACATCAGTCTGGAAATACAATATCTCAAACCTACTTGACCACTTAATAACTAAGAGAAACAACTAAGTGGTTGCATGACTGAACACAGAAAGTGAGAAATACACAACTTTCCATGAAATTGCTATGAAGTAACATCCTCCACATTGTTGTTCTTTTTCAAATACTTACATCCAATTACTCATTATTATTGATTACACTAATGATTATTGACAAATACTATTTGTAAAATGTTAAATTTTCAATAAAATTCTTCCTCTATTTTGTGATAAACTGATATATACTTCCCTAATTAGATACAAGTACATGAAATAATTTATACAGACAAAAATAATGATCATTATAATCACTAAACAGCTAAAAAACGCGATACCTGTTGAGACACATTGCTAAGCTGCAGTTCAAGATCATTAAGTTTCTCTTTCTTTTCCAAAAACTCTTTATCCTCCTCAACAATTGTAGGCTTCACTCCACCCCAATCATTCGACACCGCCTGTCTTAACTCCTTAAACAACCTAAACAAATCCCTCCCACTCTTCGCCGGCTGAACCACCTCCTCGGGCGCCACGGTAGACTCTCCCATAAGCTGCCCTGGCAACTTCACCACTCCATCAAGCATCCTCGACGCCACATCCGTAGTTTTAACAAGCGGAAGCCTCCCTTCCACCTGCAAAAACACCTTAAATTCGTCGCTCTTTCGAATAACAGGATGAACTGCCAATTTCTTCAAGTACTTTTCAATGGCAACTCTTCTTTGTTCAACAAAATCATTCGTTTGCATCATTTGACTCTCCATTATACTCTTATCTGGCCTCAATGGGATAAAATAACCTCGAAATGTCTCCGATAATCGCTCCGAAAGCGTCACTACTTCTCGAAATCTCCTCTTAACACTAAACTCAGTACTTTCAAACTCAGGCAAATTCGTTCTAGTTGTAATCAAGTAAGTATAGTAAGAACCACTACCTGGAACCAACGAATTCGAAGCTTCTGGAACTTTCTCAGGATCCGACACCGAAATGTAGATATACTCCGAATCCGACAACCGCGAATCACTCCGATCATGACCGTTGATTTCTCCGACAACATCAGCATCCGCATCAAACGATCGAAACATCGCATCTGCGTAAGAAGGAGGTTCAAGGAACGAATTGAGCGATGAATTAGGGTTCTGGATATTGTTCTGGTTCGATTGAGTTAGGGTTTCGGCTGAAGAATCATCAATGGCGGTGGTGGAGATCTCAGGAGGAGGAGAAAGAGGATTTGGAAAAGCGCCATTGAAAGACGATTGAAGAGGAGGAAAATTATCATTGAGAGCTAAATTCTCCATTTGAGAGTGCGAATCTTCATCAGTTGAATCTTGATCGTGTCCCATCATTTTCGAAAACCCTAATTTATCGACAAATTTGGGGATTTTTGAGGAATGAAGATGAAGAAGGTTGAGGGTAGGAGAGAGAACAATGGATGAATTATCTGTAAATTTGTAATCCTAATTAGATTAGTTAAGTCATTTGTACGATTAACTGAAAAATTTGGAAATTTAGGGTGGTTCAAAATAATTTCCAGAACCTTTTTCTTTTAAAAAAAATAAATAAATAATTTTCCACAAGTGAGTATAGTGAGGAAAACGAGGGAAAATGTGACTATGATTGACGTGGTAACAAGAATTTCATTGGTACACCTTGGCACGTCTCTACCACCTGGCAAGTGAATAATTAGGGTCTATTTAATTTCAATTCCGTTCAGTTCAGTTTCTAATTTTAATTTCCTTTTCTCGTAAACAATTTAGTTTAGTTCAACTTATTTTAGTAAATGAGAACATGCTCTTATTAAATACCCCCCCTGTTTTTAAATACTTGCTCCATTTTCCTTTTTCGGTCATTTTTATATACTTGCTCCATTTTCATATTTGAAAAGCTTTTGCAATATTTAACTCATTTCTCTCACCTAGTGGACCAAACAAATATCATATTTTATTAATTTCATATTATCTCTTCGCCAATTTCTCCACTACTTTTGTTTTTTACAATTTTTTATTCTTCCACCAATCTCACTACCTCCATATTTTAATACTTTCTCCAATTTCTCCAAAAACTCCGCGTATGGAGAAATGGAGCAAGTATTTAAAAACGGAGGGAGTACAAACACTACCACAAAAACTAGAATATAAAACGCAAGATATAGAACGGTTAACTTAGATAGGCGATCTCTAGGATTATATACAACGCCTATCTAAGTTAACCGTTCTATTTGATATATTTATTTATTTATATTAAATTGTTAATTTACTATATAGAACACTTTATTAGGTAACCGTTCTATTTGATTTTAACATAAAAAAAAAATAACCCACTAGCAAAACCCTATTCCCTATGGGCCGGTTTGAACGCCCATCTTATATTCTCTAATCCTCTACAGTCGTTCATGGCTTCCCCTTTCCTCTCTTCAAAGCTTTTCCTCTTTCTTTTTCTTTCTCCTTCTCCTCTACTCAGATGTGTTTTAGAGCCTTAATAAAAGCTATCTCCTCTCCTTCACCTTCTCTAATTGCAGAACACCCGTCTCCTCAACAACCTTATTTTGGAGATTCAACAACAATGGCTGCCTAAGTTTCGCGTCAGGCTGTTGGAAGTCTACCTACCTCCTCTGCACTCCATCGTGATTTCTTCACTGTCATTGGTTATCACCGAAAATTTTTGTTTCCCTCGCGATAACCAATGATTTCATTAAGCAATAGGTTAAATTCTCTCTCCGCTATTTGATTCCATATAAGCATTGATTTTCATTTGAATCTATGATTGTGAAGGTTGTGATTTTAGGAAGGATTTTTATAGTTCATTGTTAACTTATCATGTACTATTATTTTTTTTTTCTTTTCCTAGACCTATTATTATCTTTTGCTTTTCATTTTTGTTGATTGTTCATCCGATTAATGTGAGATTTTATGAATTAAATTACTGTTTTTTTTTGTGTTTGTTGATTAATTTTGAAAAGATGTCGAAGATCTTCAATTTTGTGTTTAGTTGTTAATTATTATTGTGATTGTTCATTTGATTGAATATATATTGTTGTTAAACATGCATGTTTTATTTTTATTGTCAATGTCTCGCTCTTATGGACTTATAACCTTTTTTTTTTTTTTTTTAATTTCAACAGATTAATCGGATATAAAGGAGAAGAAATTCTTGAACCTCTTCATCTATTCGTTTTCCAGTATCATATTCTTCAATTTTTCACTACTTGAATTGTATCAAAAGTACATAAGATGTAATTAATTAAATACAAAGGATAAATAAAGTTTTTTTTATTTGGTATTTCACTTCATCTCTTACAGTTTCAATTTAAGTTGATTTATTGATTTATGAATCATGATGTAGATTAGTAGATATACAACCTCCGTAATTCGTGCAAAATTAATAATACGATAATTAAAAAAAAAAACAAAGAGAACGGTTATCCTAGTCAATCGTTCTCTTTTGTATTGATTTTTTATTAAGCGTGTGGAAGAGAATATAGAGCTGTTATCTCACATAACCGTTCTCTTTTCCCTTTCATATAGAACGCCTCTTCCACGCGTTCTATAAGCTTTACACATCACTTAGCAGAAGAACGCCTCTGAGACGTTCTATAAGACCTATTTCGACAGTTCTCTATTCCCTTTTTTGTAGTAGTGAAATATTATATTATTCTTTAAAAAAAAATTATACACCCTTTGTATTTTATTACATAATGCATTTACATTATTCATTTGGCTTAATTTGACTAATATTTTGGATTATGCATAAGAAAAAAATATAGTCTTGTAGATACTTATTAAAATCTTCTTAATAAATAGATTATTAATAATTGGTGTATAACTTATTTATGATTAGAGATATTGATGAACAAAGATATACATCGACATAAGGAAAATAGAGCAAGTACTCAGTAATAAAATAGGGAGTAATTGATTTACATAAAATTGATAAAGTTATTTATTTGTTATTATTTTTTTTTTCTTTTTCATGAGCTAAAACACAAGAATTTTATACTCCGTAAGAGTATTAAAGAAAGATAAACTATTGGCTGCAGTTAGTAGCCAGTAAAGGTGCCATGTGCATCGATTAGGAAAAAGTGAAAACTAAGGTAATAAATTTTCACATATATTAAATAGTAAAATAACAAATAGATTGGATTAGAGTCATTAGACAATACAAATTATAATAAACAATATTAAGTGTTACATTGTCGTGTTAATAGTTTGTAAATTGACACAAAAAATAAAAATTGCTTTGATATTAGTATTATAACTCATAAAAAGTTGATAAATGAAACATGTCAAAATAATATCCTTTAAATTATGAAACAAGGTAGTATATACATAGACTTGTGGCTACCTAGATGCGTTATAGCCAAAATTTCCAATCTTGTTATCTTAAATTTTTAGTTATGTACTTGTATTTTATACTTTTGTTTTATGTAATGTAATTTTCTTTCTTATTCTTATAATTCTAGGTATTAATTCTTCTTTGAGATAGGAAAACCACTAATTGCTAAGGGTTTTTCACTATGATAAGATCATAAGCATTGTGTACCTTTCCTCTTTAAAAAAAAAAAAACCAATGCAATAAGATGATGAGTTAGTAAAATCTTATTTTGTTGTGCAAACAACCACTAGCCCATATGCTAAAATGGCTACATGTTTCTTCTTTAAAAAGTTAGAATCATAAGTAAGAATCATAAGATTAGACCCTTAGGTGAACTGTAAAACTAGCTACCAATATGCCATGAAAAAGCCCAATAAAATTGGCCCAATAAGACTACTAACATATGGACCAAGACTACAAATTTCACAACAAATCTGAAACACCACTAGTCCACTAAGATGTCCATCTTACAAAGTCAAAGTAATTAGGATTAATATAATGATACAGTCTTACTCATTGAGATGTTCCTTTTTCTACTGTAGTAGGTTTTGGTTCTAGAATCCAAATAATAAGTCTTAATTTTATGAGTCAAAATAAATAAATCTTATGAGTATTAATCATATAAAAGCAAATTAAAAGGAACAACAATTGGGAGGGGACTGGAACCTAACCACCCAGAATTGATCCCGGAAACCGGATTAGTCCAAAGGGTGAATCGGGTAGAACGCAAAAAAAAAAAAAAAAAAAGGACACAATAATCAACAAAGTGTTGGCTCACTTGGTAGTTGGTAGGATTCGAACCCCAGACTCTCCCCTTTACTTCTAAGAGTCGTTTCGATCCAATCCATTCTTGGGGTCAAATAAAGACAAAGGATATGTCAATGACCTAGCACGACAAAGCACTCTCAAGAGCGAGAGGCGAAGAGCAAACCAAGAACGGAAACGGAAGTCTTTTGTGTACCCCGTAAATATATACTGAACTAAAAACCGCGAGGATTAAAGTCTGATTAGAGTCTTATCAATTAAAAATAAAATGGACACAACAACAACAAAAAGACAAAAGGATCTTATATGTAATTTTTTAAAATGTTGAATGTGCCATTTTTGTGGCACATTCAATTGTTATACCCATTACATTTTTAAAGCTTAATTGGTGTTTTAAAGTATTGGTCAATTTTTTATAAGTCTTATCATGAAGACATAGTTCGATATATTATAGCACAATATGTTCCGGCCTTGAAAAAAAACCCTAAAACATACAAGTACTTATTTTCGACCAAATTAAAGAGAGTATGTATGAGTGATACTTCGTATTATTTATCATCGTTATATAATATTTGCGAGAAAATACATCTAGATAATGACATGCACTTAGATAATAGTGTTCATTGCTTGTGGGATACTATCATACTAATATACAAAAATACAACACCAAACCTATAACTACCCATGAAATATGGAACTCAAGTAATATTAGATAATAAAGTCTCAAATGAAAGACCAAAGAAATTAATTAGCATGAAAAACAAGTCATTGTAAGCACCAAATTAAAATATAATATACGGAGTTGTAAGAATCTTTTAAATAATGAAAAATCTTTATGTATAATTAAGAAATAACATATATATGTGAAATTTTGTTAATAAGATCCGATCCGTCGCGATGTGTAACTTTTAATATGAATCTTTTGATAATTTTTCTATGAAGCGTAAATGAATTTGAAGATATTGATGCTAAAATATGTATACAGAAAATTGCGCAGAATAATAAGGGTCCGTTCTTTTCACCTTATTTTTAGTTCAGTTTAGTACAACTCTTAATTTTCTTCTCTCATAAAATATTTATTTCATTTCATTTCATTTCAGCTCAATTCATTAAATCAGAACATGCCCTAAGTGTAACCAACAAAATGAGACCAAAGAAAAGAAATTAAAAAAAAGTGTTGACAAATAACAAGTGAGATTTGAAGAGCACTTTGACGGGCAAGGTAGCTTTCAAACTACTGAAATTTCTCTATTATTAACGACCTATACACTATTGATTTCAACTAAGAATTATATGTGTTGTTTTCCATCAAAAAAGATTTGATAAAAGTCAGTAACGAACTCACCAAACTTTGGGTTTGATTATATTTGTTAGTTTGCTAAGTTTTTCGTTCACCTATCTT